CAGGATAAAATGAATTTTCCCATGTATAATTTGGTCCAAGACAAACAGACAAGACTAAATGACTCATCATTTAATTCTGTCCGAGAACCAATGAAACAATCCAAACCCGTGCAGCCGAATGTGTTCATGCCTAACACACTGCCCAACTCGTACAATTTCAACATCGATCCATCCCCTCCAATGTTTCCTGCCAATCTGTTTTATGCACAGATGCCTCAAGATGTGAACTACGTGCAACCTAACCAGCAGCAGTTCCACAACTTCAAAGAGCAAAATATGCAACACATGTTTGGCAACCAGAAACTGGAGCATCAGGTTCTCAGAGACAAGATGTTGAATGTGGGCAATCCATATTTAAAAGATTAATGAATATGTAGTCTTATCACAAAACGTAATATTAATACGTCATCTAGTCAATGGAAATACTTAGGTTTTGATACCTCGGTAGCATTGAACCCCAAGTATTGTGTAAGGTACTGTGTTTTATTTTTGCTTCGATTTTTTTCCCACCAATTTCTCCTAGTGTGTGATTTTTTTTTTTGGCAATAAATACTTTCAACCCATCTTGCTTCGATATTCGTATCGAATATCAATTGGGTATAAAAAGAATAGTGCAAATGTTTTTTCTTTTTATTGTAAATTTATATTTATCATTGAGTAACCAGTGTACATTATAACGAATTATTCGGTAAGGACTTTAGAACCATTGTACGAGTGTATTATTCTCATTATTATTAATACATTTTAAACGACACATAGTTATTGAGCTGTATTTTAATGTATATGAATAAGTGTAGACAGCAGGTGCGTACACAAAAATATATTTGGGGGGGGGGGTGATTGTACATTTTCGTACTTATATAATTTAATCTAACCTATAACCTAACACGAAGTTTACACAATTTCAATTATAGTACTATTTATTTCTCATAAAAAAATGTCATTATTAAAAAAATTTAATTATTTTTAAAAACATTTTCCTGAAATTCCGGGGTGGGGTTGAACCCCCCTTGTATACGCGCCTGGTAGACAGTATAGTTTGCTCATAGTAGAAAACCATAAAAAAATGTCAAGCAATAAGAATTGTTTGATCCTACCCATGGGTTATGCAATATCTACGACCTATGAGTAAGGATGGTCATTTGCTCACTGGTTTCTATTTGTAACCTGTAGACTTTAAGGTCTATTACCTGGAACAATCTAGTGACTAAACAAAAACTACAAATTCAGTTTAAAAAAAAATATATGTTTAATATTATTAGGTTATGAGATGGGTATAAATAAATAAGAACCAAGTTTCTCTTTGAACTATTAATATCCGTTTAAAAAGTATTTTCAATACTTATTTTTTTAATGTTCTTGTGAACTTGCATTTCCATGCCTATTTTGGTTTTTATTTAGTTTATAATGATACCATTGTGGAATACATAAAAAAAAAATTGAATCATCTTTAAATATCATTATTGAATATTATTGATAAAACCGTATATTTATAATACTTGATAATGAATAGTTGTACCATGTACGTATTGTTCTATGCATTGGTTGTATCTTGAATCATATACAATTGTATAATATTATGGTTATAAATAGGACCGTCCACAAAGTATACAAGCTGATGGATAATTATTGACGACATGAAATGACTAGAGTACTAGGCATTATGTTATTATATTATTCAACCACACAAGGTCCATCAAATTTCTAACAGGTAGGTGGCGCGGCGGGCTCGTCGTTTTGGTCACGTGATTTCAATGCCATTCGGGCTTCTTTTTTCAAAATAAATAAATCGGCTTTCTGCAAGTTCGCAAAAACAGGGCCAGTGCCGGCATGACTTGAGAGACTTTTAGTCTTCGAGTTGTTGAAAAAAAATCAGGCTTAAAAGCGCTCTCAGACGGAGCAGCATATGATGTGTGAGTAATGGGTAGGTAATGTTACGACTTACAACATAAATTCGTTTTCTGCCACTTTTTTGAAAATTTCCGATTGTCTAGTGCAGGGATTCTCAAACTGTGATACGCGTACCCTTTGGGGGTACTCGAAATGTTTTAAGGGGTATGAGTGTGGCCAACAATCCAACAAGGAAAAAATTCTTCAAGTCTTTAATTTTTTTTTTATATATTTGAGTTTAACAACTAAGGGGTTACTAAAAAAAATGTATTGATAAAAGCGGTACAGTGCTTATAAGAGTTTGAGAATCCCAGCTCTAGTGTGTACATCAAAGACAAGGGCGGCTCCCAGGCACATGGTTGGGGAGGCTAAATCATAATTTTCAGTTAACTTTGCCCCCTCTTTTATAACTTTTAAAATCATACCAATCTTATGACAAATGCCGTACAAAAGCCGCTACGTCTGGACGCGCCGTAACTCTTACACATCCTATATAAAATAAAAAATTAACAATTATATTATATACATCTATTGATGTATGTTATTACATTAAAATTGAAAAATAAAAGTTTATTTGAATATTATGAAACTAAATTATTTGTAATTATTCTGAGTGGGACGTGGGTAGGCGTATCATTGCGTGTCACTGCTTAGTAACACTCGTAGTGTTATGGCATATTAATTATTATGACATTATCTACTGACCACTGGCTTATAGCTGTGAATTTTATTGTGATACCCTAATCGAGAAAACCAAACAATTTTACAATGTTATGATATATAAGTACAAATTTTGTAAAAAGTTGCTTTCGTTCGTTCAAAATTGTTTTTTCCTCTGTATCATCAATAAATAACTACAAAATGGCAATTTTCAAATTTTTAAAAATAAAAAATAGATTTTGAACTTTTTTGAAATTTTTTTTTAGACCATGGAAATAGAGAGGCTATTAATTATGTAATAAAATTTACTTTCCAAAAAACTGCACTGGAATATCTGCATTATTATACTTAGAATTAAAGTCGACTTCACAATTAATTACCTGCGTAAGTATTAAGTGCAAAGTAGTGCATAATATTATTATACAGCATTTTTAGGCCATGAAGCACATTTTGGTTTAAACTGTTTTGTTGAAGTTAAAAAAACCGCACTCGAAGGCAACTAGTTTTCAATTTTTCATTGGGCGGCGGTCAGGCATCAGCTTTTCGTAATTTATCTCCGATCCTAAGTCAATCATCTGTTCGCCTGCCGACCACAAAAGTTGGCCGAAAAAACCTAAGAGTACCTCCGCTGCATGCGCCATGCAGATACGTCGAACGACGGACATGTCCTGTGATTACTCATCACCTATTTTTTATTTATTCTGACTCTTTGCGTTATTACAATAAGTCAATTTCGGAATTTCTGAGTAAAAATATAGTATACACGGGCACAGAATATCAGTAGACACTATTAGAGAAATCTGTTTAGTGTTTATTGTTTTCCGATGTATAACAATGTCGTTGTGTACATCGTTTTCAGATATTTTCCCAAAAATATAAGTACAATAGAAGCGGCTTATTAGAAATACTTTAGGACCAAAGTGAAATGTGTCAATCAACCGATTTTTTTCTAATAAGCGGTTAATTTGATGTGTACTATAAAAAAAAAATGAAAAATACGCGAAAAATGTATGTATAATTTAAAAAAAGTACATATGTATATATTTTTGGAAGCACGTCGTATGATTTTAATAACTCGTACTTCTGTTTGGAACTTAAATCTTGGCGTTTTTAGATTTTTAGAATAACGAAACACTTTTAAATCACATTTACGTACGCACGCCAAAGATGAACTAACGATACGTATAGGAAAGAGCATTCTTATGCATCGTACAGAACTGCACTTAAAATAAAGTTTAGTCCAAACATAAACGTAACGACAGCAAAGATAAGATTAAATTTACATTGGTTATCGCACGGATAAATGGTGAATACGTCAACTGACCTCCCAATTGTTTCAAATAACCGATGTGATGTTTCAATAATCCGATTTATTTTCAATGTTCTAATATACGGCCGGTCCGTCCCTGTACATTTTGTTTCAATAACGCGATTGTATCAATTATCTGTGTTTCTTTTTTTTTTTTTTTTTACATTTTTTTATTAAAATAAAGTTTTACTGACATATGTCATCTTAACTTAATGTTGATTAGATACATTTTTTTTTTAACATTTGGAAAAAAATATAACAATTAGTAATAATTAGAAAAAGTATTAGTAAAAACTAAAAATAGAAACTACTACGTTTTAAAGTATTTACAAATCGGAAAAAAAAACAAAAATAATAATAAATAATAGTTTAACAACAGGTCGTGTGGGCGTCCACGCTTGAGTCGGCGTACAGAAGGTGGGTCAATTAGTTTATAAAATTTCGCATCGTAATCGTAATAATAATAAATAATAAATATGTAATAAATTAATTAGAATAATATATTTTATATAAAATGTTTTTTGTAAAGTCAGTAAGACTTAAATTTCTGTATTTATTCATTTTTCCGAATAGCAGACATCTTTAAAAAGAGAACAATTTTTAAGGCCCAATGTGTGTCCCACTATTTAGAGGTTTTACTGTATTGAATAATAATAAATTACCTAAAACTTCCTATATTACCAAAGAGCTTTAGCCAATTAAAGTCATCTCGTTAAAATCATCTGTGATTTGCTTTCAGAGATACATTTTAGGGCTTCTGGGGATACTTCCCTGATATTTGCTCCTTTCTATGTTTCATTTCACTGCACTATGGTCTATGCCAGGGGTCACTAATTTATATTTTTGAAAGGCCACATTACGAATTTAGAAGTTTTTTGTAGACCATCAAAATTTCTGACGTTAGAAAACACCAATGAACAAAAGTAATAAATTACAACATTAGAAAGTATAATATTATCAGTTTTCACTTATTTTTATCTTGTCTGCAGACATATAACTATTAAATAAGAACATATATTAATAAACATAATATATTTATAATATTTTACAAATTACAAAATCATTTTTTTTACATAATAGGATTATTAAACATTTGAAACCCTAAATACAAATTATTACTTCAAGTAAAAGAATTAGTTGATTAATTGAAAATAGTAACACATTTATTCAAACAGATTATATAAGTATCACATGTTCAATATGTCATAATAGTTTTATTATTTAGATGCCTGTATAGAATTATGTATCTGTTTTTGTAGAAACTATTTTGACACCCTCAATTTTGATTACTTGTTTTTATTTTGTACTAAAACTATGAAAATCATCATTATATCTGTAGTTTCCTTGAGTTGGAGAATTATATTGAAATGAATGATTCATAGGGTACTGGACATTTCTACAATATTCATCATAAAATACATGGGTTTCTGATTGTTTAACATTGCCACATAACCATAATTCAGAAAAGTGAATAACCGAGCGAAATATTAATACTATCCATGATATATGTTGGAATTTATCGCTAGGGTAATCAATAGGGCCACTTTCAATAGCCAAATAATTATAGTTTTTGATTTTATTTATCTCTTTGAATCCATTTTCTAGAGAACCATAATATGTACTTTGAGTGGTAAAAATACAAAATATAATTTCATTCTTAACATCGAATCTTTTTATGTCTCCAGGGTCCAACTTTTTATCTTTAACGTATCTTAATAAACTACAAACAAATCAAAAACAATTAATTAATTAATAAGATGTTTAATAATATTGTATTTTAAATTGTAAAATCCTGAAATTTCATTGTCCCCAAGACTTGAAAAAATACTCAACTTGAAAAAAATATAATAAATGGATAAGTTAACCAAAATAATTATTCTCAAAATAAATAAAACCAATTAATGAAGGTATGATGCTAATTCTTTTAAAAAAATAACCTACAAATTACAATCTGTAAAGAAATATAAAATTGTTACAGTAAAGCCCATACACACTGCAGTAGTAGCTGTAATATACAGCCAAAAACAATATCACTACTGTGGCAAAACAGCCATGATATCATCATCATAAAATGTAGTTTTTTTTTATTTTAAACATAAGACATTCCTAGCCTAAGGCTATCTATATCTAGTGATGTTTTAAGACATTTGAGCTTATTCAATTGTTTAAACCTTAATGACAACAATGTAGGGTGTCTTAAATAAATATCAAATATATTATATAAGTGTATGTTACAAGTAATATGCCATACTATGCTCTGTCAAAAAACAGAATAATCAGTCGGCCGACCGATTATGTCGGTGCTGTGCATCTCCTACCAACTTCCTGGTGTTAGCATGAACACAGGGGTTTCGACACAGCAAACGCATCATTCAAAATGCGCAAAAAGTGATTGTTCTCTTTTAAACAGTGTATACATATACTATACATGTTAAGTTTGTGTCAGCCAAAAACGGATTGATACCTTTAGTTTTTTAGGGATATATTATTCTTATTGGAAAAAAATATATTATCCAACATGAAACATTTTTTATCACTTTACCAACAGTACTTAATATTATCATTTTTTAATGAGATATTAAAATGGCTGCTTAAGAGGATGTCGCACCCTCGTGTGTTGTCTGTCTTACACACGTATGACACAGTTTTAATTTTGTGCTGTTAGTTTTGATATTAGAGTGAATTGACTTATTATACAATTTATAGGTAAGATTATTATCTAGGGCTCTTAGTATGCTTTTATTGATATTATTATTTTTAAGTAAGTTATTACCTTTTAGAAACTGTACATTTGAAAATGATCATAACTTACATACAAATAATAATATCAATAAAAGCCTAAGTGAGACTCTGCATAATAACCTTTTCTTTAAATTTTATAAAAGGTAAATTCACTCTAATGTCAAAACTAACACCACTCGGCACTCTATTGAAACTGGTTAACAATAATTTACTATGTTGTATGTGTGTAAGACTGAGACAATACACGTGAGTGCAACGTTCTCTTGTACCTATAATATATTCAATCATTTCTTATTTTCTAAATTTTAAAATTCAATGGACTTATGGAATGAGTTAAATATAAATATAAATACTTTTCTTTGAGTGGGTATTTAGCGTCAACTGCATCTATTATAGGGTCTGTCCAATTCTTTTTGTATATTTGTTCTAAATCGATAAATAAAATAATAATTGTTTCTTGTTGCATCTGCCATAAATGTTTTGGTGTAATGTAAACTTTTAATTTCTGCGTTTTTTTTGAATCTAATAACTGACAATTTTTTATAATAATAAAAGTACCAAGATATTCAGTAATTAACAGTTATTATTTGTAACACTCACTTTTGAAGGTACACATACTGTTATGTGAATACCAGATCCATAAAAAATTTTATTGATAAGCAATTTTGTTTCAGACCAATCAAGTTTATCCAATCCACAACCAATTTTTGGTATTCCTAATTTTGTTAAATTGTTTTCTTTCATTTTGTTTAAAAGAGAATGGAGCGCTTTTTCCATTGTCACCATTGTAGGTTTACCATTGCTACTTTTTTTTGTTACCAAATAAAATGCATATTGATCATGGCGCTTAACTGTACCAACATCTCCTACTTTTAATTTCTGATCAACTAGTTTACCCACACCACCAAAGCTGCGTCTAGAAAGTAAAATAAATTATTTACAAATGAGTATAAATGAAAATAAGATATTTTTACTTGAAATCAACAGCTATGCCTGCTCCCATTCGTAAGTCTTCAGCAACACAATGGGCAAGAGAATAATCTTTTGATAATTTGAAAATGTCTTCATCTATTTCCTCAAAAATACTTAAATAATAATGAAATATTTTTAAATACATTTTAAATAGTATATAATCCAACAAAATGTTAAACAAAAATTTGTCTTCAAAATTTTAATCCATAAACATAGAGGCATAAAGTATAAACAAAAATATTTTTTAAGAAACAAGTTAGTAATAGGTGCAACTTACAATAAACATTATAATTCTCAATTTGCTTAAGACAGCGATAACATGTAGTAAATTGAAATAAATACTTAAGTAAAAAAAGAAGTGATAGATTTTAATAATTGATAACATACCTTTTCTCTATGTCAGAAAATCTGCTCTGCTTTTCACCATTGTTATTTTTGTTTTTATCCCTCCATCTGTTTTAGATAATATAAAATATTAATGATTACGTAAATACATTTTAGTATCCAAAACAATGATTTAAAACTATCAACATAAAAATAATAAAATAATGATGCAAATATCAGACAATAATTTTAATTAGGTTCATAGGCATAAATAGCAGTCAGCTTGGGGGAGGAGGGGGCAAAACACCCAAAGATTTTACACAATATTGAAATATATAAAAAAATATCAGCTTCATCTTTTCCTACCCCCCCCCCCCCCCCTTCCAGAATCTTAAACACTATTTGCATTTATTAAATAATTGGTTTTCGGTAATTGTAAATAAAAATTATGAGTAGATCTGATATTATGTTAGTATACTGTCTCAAAAGAGAATAATCAGCCGAACGAATGACTTACGTCAGTGCTGTGCATCTCTCACCAACTTCCTGGTGTTAGCATAATCACAGGGTTCTCGACACAGCAAATGCATCATTCATGATGCGCAAAAAGTGATTGTTCTCTTTAGAGACAGAGTATAGTTTGGCATTGAGGGACATGACAATTTAAATAATTTAGTAATTATGAACTGACTTTGTAACCATTGATCAATTTATATAAGAATTTTAGATCACTTATATTTCTCCTGACAGCAAGGTTAGGTATTAATATACGTAATTGTGTCTAACAATGGTGAATGAGGTTGACGTATAATATCACATTTGTATCAGATAACCATAAGTTCCAATTATTCTGAATTAATGAGGTTCTATTGTAATGCATAAGTAAGAGAAGATAAAACAATATTAATAATTGACAACATACCTTTCTTCTCCATCTTTAGTTACTGATATACGTGTGTCCTTTTGTGAATCACTGTTTGTTCTATTGTGTGCTGTTTTTTTTTTTAAATAGTCTTCATTAGAATCTTTGTAAGGCAATTTTCTTTGGTTTTGAATCTTTTTATGATATTTTTGTTCTTCGCTCAAACTTTGGGGACTAGTTTTTTTGTTGTTTTCGTTTTTATCCTTCCGTCTATTTAAAATAATATAAAATATTAATCATTTTATGACTTTTATGAATTCTGCTAGCATAAATATTTGTAACTGCCAAAAAAAATTATTTAAAACTATTATGATTATTTATGTAAGATTTAATCTACTGAAATTTGAAATATAAAAACAATAAATTACATGATTATTGTTTTAAATTTTTTTTTTTAATGACGGTATGTACACACTTTAAATATATAGGTACTGAAATAGAATAATGTGAATACTTATGATTTACAACATACACTTCTGAGTCATCAATTTTTGATAAATTGAATGTATATTCTTTATCCGAATTAATGTTGTTTCGATCGTCTACTTTTTTCTGATTAAATGTATCAGTTGATGAATCAAAATCACCAAATCTACTTTGCTCTTGACTATTTTTATTTTTGTTTTTATTTCTCCTTCTATTTAAAATAATATATAATATTAATGATTTTTATTAATATTGTGATTTATGAATGCTGATTACATAAATACATTTTAGTGTCCAAAACAAGAATTTAAGCTACAGAGTGCAACCGAATTAACTGACTAATGCAATAACTTTTGTTATAATCAATTCTCTAATTTTTTTTTAATATAAATTTTAAACACTTGTACTATATTTATGGTGTACATTTTTTCATTTTTATTTCATGAAACTGAAAATTAAAATTATAAAATTTGCTTTAACATTTTTCGGAAAAATTCTAAATAGTCAATAAGTAAATCTGACTATAAGAACAATTTTGATGATAACAACATTCATATAAATCAAATTATTTTTTAGAATTTTTTAAAATATTAATATTTTTTCAGAGTCAATTAATTTAAAAAGTAATAACACTAATAACTAATAGGTAATTATTTCAAAATATTATTTATGAGAATTTGACAATATGTGTATATTTCTTAAATTATTTACTACCCATGTCATTTTCATAATTATTGTTGTCATCCATTTAAGATTTAACAAGAATCAAATTTTTTCGTATCTTTCTGTACGCCTTGTTTGTAATTATCTAAGTAAAATGCAATTTTATGGGAATATTTGTTAAATAAAAATAAAAAAGTAATGTAAGTAAGAGAAAATGAATATTAATAATTCAAATTGACAACATACCTTCCTCCTTTTTTAGTTAATGGTTCATGTGAATCAATGTTGTTTTCCTGTATGGAATTTGTGTCATACAATTTGCTTTGCTTTTGAATATTTGTATGATTGTTTTGTTCTTCACTCAAACTTTGGTGGCTTGTTTTGTTTTTGTGTTTTGTTTTAACATGCCATCTAGTTAAAAAATATTATATAATTTTAATAATTTTATGACTTTTGTGAATACTGATTGCATAAACATATTTAAGTATCCAATAATACAATTGTTGTGATCTTCCAAGTGAGATGTTATTTTATGAAATTTGTAATTTAAAAATAATAAAATAATGGTTCAACTACCATACAATAATAATAATAACTTTTTTTTAAGACAATGACATGTAAAAAATCTAAATATATATAAATATACATTTTTAATTAACTACTTAAGTAAAAGAATGTGAGTAATGAATAATAATAAATGACAACACATTTAACACATAACTCTTCTAAATCATCAATTATTGAAAAACATGTCTCTTCTTCAAGCAAATTAATGTTAGTTCCATCAAGTTATTTACAAAAGTGAAAAAATAGGTAAACACCCCTACATCACCAACGCACAAGTAGGTGTCAAGTGTACCTCATAATTAAGTAAGTCTATGTAAATTATGTGCTAAACTGCTAAATATGAATTCATTGATAAATCATTGCATACTGAAAACAATTCTGGGTGAAGATTCCTCAGCATGTGTTACTAAATATATTTTATGATATATTTATGTATCTATTACAGTAATTTATTTTATTTTAAGTTAAACTGTAGGTTGAATTAATTATTTTTGAGTAAAATGCATTTATTATATTATTGATATTTAATTATTATAATAATATGTGTTTATTTTATATATTTTTGAATTAACTTATAAGTCGATATTGACTTACAGAAGAATGGTATGAATATATTTGTGGTATGAATACTAAATAGAAAATAGTGTGAAATTAATCTAGATGTTTTTAAAATGTCATAATAAAATAAAATAAATTATAAGTTTCAAGTTTCCACAGATAACATTTTTGAATTACAAAAATACAACTAAAATCATTATTCTTTGTTTAAATATCTATTTTTTTTAACTTCAAATTTCTAAAAAAAATTTGTGCCTATATTTTTGACTATAAATGTTTTAATACATATGTTTTCTTCTTATGAGGAACTTAGTACAATTTATATACTTAGTACATATTTATTTTAATCTTCAAGTTTTTACCAAAAATTTATTTTTATCAAAATATGTAGAAAAAAATGGAAAATTTAAAATGTCTTTAAATAATTAAAAATAATCAAAATACTTTGAAAATTATACCATTACAGAAGGATGTTAATGTAAACATTTAATGGTTATCGTTTCATGTAGTTATTCGTTCTTAAATTACACCAAAAAATGTTACACATACAAATTGCAGTATTCTCTATTTTTTTTTTTTTTTTTGTTTTTCTCAATCATTTAGGAAAATACTGTTCTACTAATTTTCTCAATTTTGACTCCCCAAAAGTACCAGATCCACTATAACAGAAATTCTAAAATTGAATCGCAAAGGATTTTTTTTACTAAAAATATCATGTCCACAAAAAAAAATATCCACATTGCAAAATCAATAAATTGATTTTTCCACTACTCGGAATACATAATAACAAATAATGACTAATCTACTAAAAAATAATAATAATTATTTATTTTTTTGGTTTTTTCAGGTAATGACATGTACTTATTTATAAATAATAAGTAAACAAAAACGAGTAATTAATTAAAATAACTAAGAACTTACTCTTTCTTTTCATCATCATCCGATGGTTTACATTTCAAATCCTCATGACAATCAATTTTGTGTGCTTCATTCTGTTTCAATTCATATTTGTCAGAATCTTTTTTACAAATTATGTTGTTTGAACCCTTCTGATCTTCACAAAAAGATTGATTGCTTCCTTGACTTATGTTATCTTCATTGTCACTGTGTCTAGTTAAAATATAAATTATTTTAATATTAATGATAATAATCGTATTTTGACAACAATTGCATAAAGAAATTTCAGAATCAAGGATGTATTTTAAAAATACTAAATTTAACAAGACTGTTTATATTAAACTTCAGTATTTTTATAACCAACCTTTAAGGTATTATATAGTATAGAATATTATTTACATGAATATTCTATTTAAAATCAAATCGATTTAAATCATAGTTTAATAAGAAAAGTTGCTTGGAAAAAGGGAATGATTAACAAATTTACACAGACTTTTTTTCAGATTATTTTGAATAGCTTTGAAGATCATTAATTTATTTATTTATTTTATTGTAACAATTTAAATCTTAAATGTAATGTACCGAATAACTAATATTAATAAGTAATAAATAATATTTTACAAAACAAAAACTATTTTGATTGTTTTTTCTATAATTTTAGGTCACTGCTTATATAATATGATGTAGGATTTGTTTGATTTTAAGTAGGGCAAAAATGTCCATGATCTTAAACACCAAAACAAAGCAAACTTATGTACAAATATCAAAGTATGCATTAAAAATAATTAAAATATAGGTACATAATAAAATGCATTAAATAAATTGTATTATTCATTTAAAATGGTATTTGGACATTTGGACATCAACTCCTGGACTAAGACAATTCCCCCCAGAATCAATATATATTTTTTACACACATAACATTAGATTGAAAAGTTGATTCTTTGGTTTTACCCAAAATATATTATGATCATCTATCGACTATCATCATTCACATTATGGATTTATTACCCAATTTAATGGCTAATGATTGATGAATCAAATGTATTATTATTGAATTATAATTAAATAATGCACACGTTAGTTTAACAATTTGTATACTTACTTAATGAAAAATCTCGTAAACTGTACCTACATTTACTTATTTGTAATTTGTATATTGTTAAATATTTTTACTTTTAATTTTTAGTCCAGAGGGTGGGGAGGGGGGTGTCTTAGATTCAATACTACACATTTTTAATAGAAAGTCAACTTGCATGTATTATTCCTTTAATACAGCCTCCTATATAAAAAATGTGTATTTGTAAATTTTAATAATTTATTTTTTTTAATTTAGATATGGTCAAATCAATACCTTTCAGCATAAACTATTTTATTAATCCTAAAAACATGTGTTCTAATCATACAAAAGATATCTAAAGATGCAATGAGAAGGGTAATGCAATTTTGATTGTACAATTAATTTAGGTTGAGTGGTTTCTGTAGAAAAATATCTTGTCTACTGACATTTTATGAGACAATAGTTATAAATTGATAAACATCTTAGATATCATTGACCCATAACAAATTTATCAAGAATAATGCTCAAGCTTATATTCTAGGAACATAAAATCAATTAAACATTACAAATATTAAATAGCAGTTACTAAATATGATAGTTGTATAAAAATTATTCTAAAATAATATATTAACAAGTTTTTAAAATATACTTCTCTTTTTTGCCTGATTTCTTATCTTTAACTTTGTTCTGTTTTACATCCTTCTTTTTGTTATTTGTTGATTCTTCTTTGGACCTAAATAAATTTATTACAAATTTAAATATTAATATAGACATTATTTTTATAAGTATGGTTTAATCCAACCTTAACTCTAAAATATTCCTCCAATATTAATTTTTAAAAAATACTAAGGAGTTAAATTAGAAGATAATGTGTATATAATTATATTGTTATTAATCTAATATATTTCACAGTGACATGTTTATAGTGAGAGGATGGAGGTAACAAAGGAGTCCTAAACAATGAGGTAATAAAAAATTATTATTGTTATTCTCAGCTTTGAGTTGGGAAAATTATATAGTTCCCTGCATAAAACTTAAAGTTTACTAGTTCAAAATTTAAATATTTTGTTTTTACATTTTGGTTAAATATAAGATTTTCAAGGATTTGAGGCTTATCGATACCTTCTAATTTCTTATTTGACATATATTTTTAATTTTACAACTAACAAATCACTTTAAAATAATGCCAATTCAGTATACTACAAACAGTATTATTGTAGCAATGATTATTATTTATATTCAAACAGAACATCATTTTGTGAAATTATCTAATAATTAAATATATAAGGCGTAAATAAAGTATTATAAAAGGTATGAAATATTATTGTTGTACAAAACCAGTTACCTTTTAGATCTTTTCTTTCGGTCCATTTTGATTAGAAATTAGCTTTTCTAAATTAAAAAAAAAAATACATTTAGGTATTAGTTCAATGAAGTATTAATATTTAACATTCACTAACATAGAAAATGGTTAATACCCAGTACTACTTGGTCTATTATAGAATTAATGATGGTAGGGCAATGTGTTACAATTTACAACTAAAATATAGCGATTTTAATAAAAAAGTTTATTAGTATCTTAAAATTAATATAGTATATTTATTTATTTACTGTATATAGAATATGAAAAGGTAGACAGATGAATATCTGTGATAACATACTACACATAGTTTAACTTTAGTGTTTAGGTTTGGTAACTATACGTCTATACTTAATAGTATTGATATTATAATAAATACATAATTATTGTCAAATTCATGGTTATAGAAATAACTAGTTTAATTATTGGAAAAGTATTTAATCATCCACAGAAAAAAATGCAAATGTTTTAAGGTACCCGGTAATAACATATGAAATGAACATTGTTCAACAGAATTACTAGCATTAAATTAAATCAATATTTTAAACAAATTAAATAAGCTGGACTCCTCTTCAAAAACATTTGAAACAACTTCTGGCGTTCCCCAAGGCGGCCACCTAAGCCCATTACTATTTTCACTTTTTGTTGACTCTATCTCCATACGGCTTAACCAAGTAAAATTTTTGTTGTATGCGGATGATATAAAGATATTTCATAAAATTAGATCCCCTTCAGATTCCACCCTACTTCAGAGTGAATTAGACATTTTTAAAGAATGGGTCTCTCATTTAGGTTTAACCCTAAACCTTTTTTAGTGTAACGTTATTTCCTTCTCCAGATTTTTAACTCCAATTTTAACCACATACTTTCTTAACGGCACAGAACTTGAACGAGTTTCCTCCATTAAGGACCTTGGTATAATTTACTCGCCTAATCTATGTTTTAGCACTCAAATAAATTTGATGGTTAATAAAGCACTAAAGTCCTTAGTTCATCATACATAATACTAAATTATTTAAGTCGGTTGGATGCCTTTGTACTTTATACAATGCCCTTGCCGCTCTCTTCTTGAGTTTGGATCTGTGGTCTGGCAACCGTATTTGGTTAAAGACCAGCTACGACTTGAACGCGTCCAAAATAAATTTCTTAACTTTATTGCCTTCAAAATGAACATTTATCACGAAAATCATGATTATTCCAACATAAGGCAAATTTTGAACATCCCAACTCTTACCACTCGTCTCGCAAAAGCAGACTTAGACTTTCTAAACTTAATTCTAAATGGTTCTTTGGACGTTCCTGATCTCCTTGCAGCCATACCATTCAGAGTTCCTTCTCATTCTTCCAGAAACCAATCACAATATTATGTCCCAACCCACAAGACCTCTTATGGGCACAACCACACTCTACACCACATACTCAGAGCTGCAAACAATCAATAATCCTTAGGCCACTAATTATACTTCTACCTTTATAATTATACTATTTATCTATATTATAACATGCATACTCTGAAATATTTATACTTTTATCTAAATTATTTATGTATCTAATTAATTATTTATGTATTCTACCTTACTGTACTTATACCATATTTGTAATACTATGTAAAATTGTCGTTTCATCATTTAATAAACAATAATAATAATAAGTACCTACACTAGTAATTTAATCAAAATGTATTTGTCAAGAATGCCTATAAGGCTATAACATAAGTATGTTTAATTTAAAATAATGTAAAATATTATAGGTAATAACCTATAAACCAGTATACTTACTAAACAAAAGTAGAATCCAAGAAAACTATTATATTTATGTATATAAAATTAATTAACAACTACACAAAAAATAATAACCATATAACATTTAATTTGTTAACTTGAATAATTTAAAATATTTTGTTATGCAACTACCTACTCATATTTATTAAGTACATTATTCATTATGATCGAAAAGTTTGAAATAAATAGTAGTTGTATAAATTACTATGGAAATCTATAATGTAATATCGTCCTTAAATGTCAATAAGCAATCAAGTAACATCCATATAATATAATTTATCAATCACCATTAATCAAACAAATGCTATTCGTTCGTTCAACAATAATATGTAATCAGTAATGAGCTAGGTACTATAACACCACTTAAACCTCTAAACCTCTTTAACACTGCATTACTGACTACTGTAATAGTATTGCTGATGATTAAGAATATTTACATTGTTTAATCTTTTTTATCTACATAATGTGACCATACATTTAAGAATTCAGGAATATTATGACGCGACGATTCAGATAATACGACATTAGTACATCACGATTTACAACATAATATTTATCTTTACCAAATACAAATTCCATGCCATTATTTTCATTAGGCACAAAATACAATTTGCCAAATCGCCGTTTTAAAACACGTGTTTATGTGTCATTGTGTCGTGTACTAATGTGTATACCATGTGAAACCATAAAATTGTGTTGATTGTTACTTGTTATGGATTTACACGCATTGGACTCTTCAATGTTGACACTAGACTGCCGTCATTTCTTGACTTCTAATCAGGGACTTCAGAGTTCGGACTACTGTTGTTTCATCTAAGAGTTAATACTTAAGAGCCATTAGTCAAATCTCAAATTACAAACACAGTGTCTCTGGAGTCTGGACTCAGATATTCTGAAGTAATTTGAAGTCTAAAGAAAAATGGCAGTTACGGTTAAGGTTAACGTGATAAATGATAAAACAAAACCATAGACAACCGAATAGTTATGTATATATTTGTCATACATGTCAATACATGTAATCTGTCGCCTGTGCCATTTCCATAGGCTTATATATTTTTATATATTTTGTATAATATTGTGGTCTATCGTCTATGGATAACACAAATTTAATTTTATCATAGAAAACAGTTGAATTCATTTATAAGACTAGTGACTACCGTACCTATCTTTGCCCAATGGTAGAATTTGAATTGGGCGCACGGCCATTATCTGGGATCAGCTGGCAGCTGGCAGCTGCTATTTTTTATTCCGCTTAAGGCCACGGCTAAGGCGATTGTTCACTTATCATTTTTTGGATAAAAAAAATCTCATCACTGAATCATTAAAATAATAGATCGGTGCATCGCTTCTGCCTTCAGAAAATAATTGTTCCAAACCAAAATTGTTTAAACTAAATTAATATCCAAAACGTAGACACCTACGTATGTTTTTTCCGATACATATTTATTTCCAGAAACATTTGTTCCAACGACCAATTGTTCTCCAATCTATTTATGTCACTAGCCAATACTTATGTTTTTAACCCACCTGTTGTAGAGACTATAACCCAGGGGTATATTATGATGGCACTGTATGAATTGGCCGAATCGATTGTTCTATACTAGAGCTGGATAGTGGTACACCATTCACAGACCTTTTGCTTTTGTCTTTACAGTCTTGATACAATTTGGAGAAATAATTAATGCTTAATATTAGGTATTTATTAAAGTGATTTTAGATCCGCTATAAACGGTGTTTTCTGAACTAAAATCAGCGTCTCAGCGTCTTTCCTCAATTATTAAGGAAAATTCGAGCACTGGGTACGTATTGATAGGTACACAATTGTAGTATCTATCAATTCAGAGAGAACTAACCAATTTTGAAAGGTTACAATGGTTAGCGATCACCTATAATTTATCTATGATTTATCACAGTATTTTTTTAGATATGGGGGTCCAACATAAGACGCCATGTGGTAGGTACTGCAAGGTAGCAGGATACTCCATCCAGAATTTACGTTAATACTTAAGCATAAATGATTAAACATTGCATTACGCCAATTGGCATTCGCCATTAGGTACCTATAATGTCGCTTTGATTTGTATCTGATGGTAAAATTTAAAAAACTGATGATGGGGATGATGGGAACTCCTTGATGTATGATTTCATATAGTATATTTTAAACACTTCAGCATGACTAAAAAGGCAGGCCAATATATTATGAGTTTTTTTCAAAAAAAATTATTTCTTGCAAAATTTAGAAAACTTTCTCGAAAAATTGGAATCTTTAATTTTCCTTGCACACAAAAGCCTATGATGCATAATAATGTATAATCTGCAATACCTCAAATGCCAAATTATTTTCTGTGTTCATGCCCTTGGTTTGCCGTCTGAACTCAGAAACCAATTTTTCCCTACCCAATCCCACAAATATTTTTAACGTACCAATTTGTTCCACTCAAGTTTTGTTTGAAATTATATTTATTCCAATGCCCTTATTGATTCCATAAAAACATCATCCAATATTAATTATTATTACTTGTTTCGAATAATATTTCTTCCAGTAACCACTTTTTCCATAAGACGTTCGTTCCAATGATCTTTTGTTCCAAACTTTTTTGGAACTATATACTATTGGAACAAATATTTTGTTATAATATATTGTTCTGTGATAATAATACAGTTATCACAGTAAAATAAAATTAAAACAACATGCAACAAAATATATTTTTTTAATTTAAATGTAAAACTTACTCGATTTAAATGATTTGATATTAACAACAATAAATTAACTCTTAAGAGTTGAATCTTCTCGTTAAGAGAATGTTACCGGGTATTGGTGTTTTTGGAACAGGTAACTTTAATTTACATAAAATTGTATCCCGTACATTTCGAATTAAAAAAATGATGTTATGAAATTTTGAATTGTTAAAATATTAATATTATTTCTTTCTTTTCTTTTAGATTTTATTTTATGTTTTCAAACCAAATTTTTTATTTTATAATATGTTGAATAATAATTTTTATAAAATATATGCAAAAGAAAATTCATACAATTGGTCAGACTTTAGTTATACAAATACACAAACTATCACTATTTAATAAATCAACATATGACAAAAATTTTGCCTGTAATTAATTGATTAAATATGTCAACAGGTAAAGTTATTGAAATAATTGTACCCTTTTTGCGTGATAAGGGTTTCAAAGTAGAAGCACTATGGGGACGCACTATGAATGAAGCTGAAGAAGCTGCTAAGCGTCTTCAAATACCTTTTTGGACTAACAAAATTGATAATGTGCTCCTAAGAAAAGATGTAGATCTCATTTTCATTGTATGCTCTCCAAATCTTCATGCACAAATAGCCGTCAAAGCATTGGGTATCGGGAAACATGTTCTGTGTGATAAGCCAGCTGGTCTATGCCAGAGTGAAGCTATTAAAATGGTACATGCTGCGCAATATTATCCTTCGCTTATATCAGTTGTCAACCATAGTTTGAGGTTCTTACCAGCATTTGTGCAAATGAAAAAACAGATAAATGAAAACAAAATTGGAAATGTGTTTTTATGTGATGTCAAAGTACAAATGGGTCGTTTGTATGGGGATACTTATAACTGGTTATGTGATAAAACAATGGGCGGTGGGGTCTTAACATTAGTTGGAAGTCATGTTATAGACTTGGTTACATATTTAACTGATCAAAAAGCTGTCCGCGTTCATGGTATTGTTAAAACATTCAATAAAGATTTTAAGTGTTTGACCGGTGTAAGGCAAGTGACAAGTCCAGACTTTTGTACTTTTCAAATGGAAATGGCAGACAGGTCTTTAGTTACAGTCACATTAAATAATCATCTTGCTGGAACTTATATACAAGAAGTGCTTATGTGTGGCACTGAGGGTAATTTAATTGTCAAAGGTGGAGATTTATATAAGGACAAAGACGAAGTATTGTATTTGGATGTGGAAGACTTACAAAAGTCAGATGCTATAAATGTGGTGTCTGCTGATATCATGCCTAGACCTTGTATGAAAGGTTTACTAAAAATGATCAGTGCTTTACGAGAGGCATTTTTGCCAGTTGAAGATAAAAGAGGTTGGGTCAAAGAACCGGTTTCATCTGCAGCCACTTTTGAAGACAGCTTATACGTCCAAGCAGTGATTGATGCAATAAGATCTTCTAGTGGGAACAAAGAATGGGTTAAAGTTGAAGTAATCACAGAAGAACCAGATCCTAATCCTTTATTGAGTGCAGCTGTAAGAAAGAGCGGCATGTCCATGTAATTTATAAAAATATATACATTTTATTTAATTTCTTTATTGGCATTTTTACTTAAATAACAGATTTTTATTGTATACATTTTATAACAAAAATATAACTTATCTTTTTGACAAGATCTCATTTTTATTATAACATTTTGTAAGTGATACATTTTAAATTGTACAAATAAAAAAATAGAAGTAATTATTAATCCATTTAATATAATATAATTAAATGTGTTTACTTTACTGCAGGAGTAGGACTTGATTGAATTTCAGATATATAACTGAAACAAAAAGTGAAATTAAATATTAAAACTTCATTTAACCATTGTAATATTAAATGGATACTGGGATCATAGTTATTCAAATTATTCATTTTTTATTGTTAAGATTTTGTACTTTTTAGGCATTTAAAATGTAGATATAAAACCAATAATGCTATGCACATAAACGTCATAAACTAATAAATTGTAATAGTTATAAAACAATAGTCAGTCAGCCAACTAATTCACGTCAATGCTGCACATCTCCTATGAACATCCCAGTGTTGGTGTGATCACATTGTTATTGCAGAGCAAAAAATGATAGTTCTCTTTTGACTTTTGAGATTAAGTAAAAAACATTTTTTTTCCCAATAACTACAAGAACTACGGAAAATTCAAAAATCCTCATCCTTATGTATAATCTTTAAATTTAATAATGTGGTTCTTACAATTATAAAGATTTCTTAGTCCTAAAAAATGTTATAATGTGTTCATCAGGTTATGACTACTAAAAATGTATTTTAGTAGTATGTAATAACTAAAAGCAAATAATTTAATACTTGTAGATGGTATTTTCATTAAACTTTTCTTAATACACTAAGAAGTTTATATTTTTAAATTGTTTATCAAAAAAAAAAAGGGATAGATAAACGTTTTGATTTTATAAAAATATAGAAAAAAATATTATTAAGTATTGCATTAAATGTAAAATATCATACCTAGTCATTTCTTTAATTTGTTTATCGATTTCTTCTTCAATTTCTTCTAATTCTTTCTCACAAGTCATCAATTCATTATACTTCTTATCTAATGTAGTAATTGTTTGTTCTAATTCATCCACATTGTCAACGAGCTTTTGAGCTGCTTCTTGAGTATCATTTTTAATCACTTCGGTCCCAATAGATTCTAATAAAACCTTAGCATCATCTAAGAAAATAATTTCACATAATGAACTATTAATTTTCATTATCAACTGTATATTTGGACTTAGATACTCTAGTATAAAGATCATAAATTAAAAACTCACCTGTTAACAATGGAGCTTCAGTTTCATCTATAGTTTTTAAATCTTCTTCGATTTCTTCTTCTACTGGTACTATAGGACACTGTGGTATGGGAGGTTTTTTAATACTCATTTTTTATATGAAGTTTAAATTTCCTTTCTATTCAATTTTGACAAAATAAAAATTAACCTACAGAGGTTTGCTACGAGTTATATACGTTCTATGCGAATGTCATTAATGTAAACTGACATCTGGGATTATCGTAATTCGTAATGAAATATAATTATTTGATTGCATACAATTATTATCAATCACAAGTCTTGAATGACGTGAGTACAACTTTAGTCAACAACTACTACGGAGTAAGGAAATTTAATTATGACTATAGTGATAAATAAATAATAATAAATATTTATGTACATTGAATACCCATTTACCCAAATATTTTATAATTTTACTAGATTAATGATAGTGTTATCTATAACCGAGGATTTTACAAAATTTTCAAAACCAAAATGGATTTTGATATCAACCATGATTAAAAATAAACTGGTTACATAAGGGCCTTGTAAAGACCTCTACAGTGCCTTAGTTACATAACTGAACTGATACGTAAAATAATACGAATTTGTGGCCCCTTCCGTTATGTTCACTTTAGGTATATCTTTAATCGTGGTAGGCACTTCAAAAATTGAAACTGAAATCAGAATTATTTGCCTCAATGACTCATTCACAGTTCAAAATTTACAGTTTAATTTTTAACATAAAATAAAGTATAATATATTATAATCTAATATAATAGGTAATAAATAATAGTACATTAATAATTATAAGTCAATTTGACCAGACGTTCCGATTTTCGTAAAACTATTTTTGACAAATCGTTAATTTAAAGATCCTAATTGATTTTACAACAATATGCTTTTTTAAATTTGAGGAAAAACTAGAATTCAATGGTTCCATATAAGTTTTGCTATAATAAAAATTTGTGAAATTTCACAATTTTTTTTTCTCAGTGTCATCAATTATTACAAAATTGGATACTCAAGTGTAATTTTGCAAAATAATGATCTCATTAATATTAACCAATTTTAGTTTCCTTGATGTAATTCAAAATGTATTAATCCTAGAAATTTGAAACATTCCACTGTTACTTAAGTTGACGATTATTTAAGGTCAGTGAAATTTTAAAAATATTAGGACCGAAATTTAGGAATTTTAGACGAATCGCGGACGATTCGCCCCCGTCAAAAAAAAATCCACCTACGTTTCGTCCCCGTCTATTATTAAGATACAATACAATACATAACCTTTAAAATGTTTGTGCCACTTTTATAGGATTTTTATCTGGTTATTTGATATAGTTTAGTATACTCTTATGATGCTTTTACATTATAATAATAGACCTAAAAATTGTTATTGTTTAAGGAAGGGGGGGGGCTATAGTACATCTAAAGGAGCTAATTTTCCTCCCTATTTGCGCCTATGGGTGTATGGTACAGAAATGCATACATACCTAGTAATTGATCGAATCATCAGTATCTTCAATAATGATGTTATCCTGTAACTATAATTAATATCTACCTATTTTTGATTTATTTTTTAAAAAACGCCAATGTATTTTTTAAATTAATATTTAGGTACTTATTAATTGTAAAACTAACAAAAAATAATGAACTAAATTAAAAAACAACTTTTTTTCCTGTTAAGGATTTCTTTGATACACGGGGTATAACAGAAATAACTGATTAATGCAATAAATTTTGTTATAATCAATATTTTGAATTTTTTTTTATATACATAATTTGTAGTCACTTGTACTACATGTTTATATACAAAAAAATTATTTTTATTTTTTAATACTGAATATAAAAAATTTTAAATTTAACTAAATTTTTTTTGGATAAGTTCAATATAGCCAATTTGTGAATCTGAATATAAGAACAATTTTGATGGTAAAAACATTTATCTAAGTCAAGTAGTTTTTAGAATATTTTAAAATATCAATAAGTTTTTGTTTGAAATCAATTGGAACAAACAACTTTTTTTAAATATAATTTTAGGAAATTGGCTGACATGAGTATATTTCTTAAATTATTTACTACTCATATAATGTTAAAAAATGTCCTAGATTAAGTTGGCGTCATCTTTATATTTTTTTTTTTTTTTTTGGCAGGTCTATCAGTTACATCTTGTATATGATCTACTCGATTTTGATGTGTAATAAAAGTATTTGTAAATATCAGCCCTCTAAAATTATGAAAAACCTGTAGCTCATTGGCCCAGAAATAAAAACTTACAAAAACATGGTTAAATGTATTACTGATTAAATAATTTATTTAATAATAATAATTAATGCAAACATTTATAAAGTATTTTTTGATGCAAGTCAACTAATATATACATATAATTTTTTTTTTAAAGTCTGGAATCAGAGTTTCTGTAAATTCTTGAAAATAAAAATAGTTATATTTAAACTTTTATTCAAAAATAAATATTGATAGATGGCTTATTAAAGTCACATTGAATTTTAGTCTTTCTAATTAGTGGCTGATTCAAGTCGTGTCGAATCAGCAGTCATGATCATGCTTTGCTTACTAAATAAGTCAATAGTTAAACTAGATAGCAAAACTGGTATTGAACGTTGTTGACCAAGGTGTAGGGCAATCATTTCTTCAATAGTTTTTGAAAAAGGAGTTTCTAGCAAATGCATCGATCCTTCATTTAACTAAAAGAATAAAAAAATAAAATGTATCAGTTCATTGTGCATATTTTTATTTTATAAAATATTACAGGAAGTTCTACTTCTCTTTCCTATTTAAAAACCTACTCTAGCCAAAATAAATAGTAATTATACTCCAGTTCATACAATTTTTTTTAGTTTAAGAAACTAACAAAATTAAGGATAGTAGATAATAAATTATTATACAGTGACTGCCCACGATACTTTCTCCTCAGTAAATAAGTCAGTCTCAATACACATAATATATCAGCTGGTATCTCCCCCCCCCCCAAAAAAAAAAAATGAAATCCTCTATATTATCATCTTAACTAAATTCCATTCAATGGTTCAAAACATGACAAATCTATACATGACACCTTTACCTTCCAACAAGACTGTCAATAAAATACGACAAAATTCCTCAATTAACTAAAGTTAAATATCTTGATTTCATTTTTGATAGAAGACTTACAACCTTCATTTCAAATGCAAAATTAAGCTGCATGATTTTCATCTACAGATTTTAAGACCATTCTACTAATCGAATTTAAACATTACATATCGCCCTCTACTATACAAATGCCAATCAGCCTGGTAATACAGCATTGCCTTTTGGAGTTTCGCCAAATGATCTAACATCAGGACAACTTAAGCCTTCCAATCCATTTGTCTTAAATTGGTTACTAAGTCTTTGTTTCATCACTAATGGCCTATTACAAAAAGACCTAAACATGAAAGCTATAAAAAAAAATCCAGCTTCTTATTGTACTTCATGCTAAATTTCAGAACGCAACATCATTACAACGGACTCATCTCCTAACTTCATACCAAAATTCTACTAAGCAATCCTTACTAGAGTCTAAACTATGGATGGTCCAGCAACCTACCAAGAGTTTGATGAATAAAATAAAACAGTATAATCATATCTCTTAATAATTCATGATCTGACCAGGCTAAATGTTAAATTTTAATAATAACATACAATTTACTTATGGTTACAGAGAACCAAAAGATTGCAAATAAATTGGTTAAACAAAAAAATGTAATTAATTGATTCCTTATAAAATAAATAAATACTTGGAACATTAAGTTGTCTTCTTCATGAAAAGCAAATTGACTAGTCAGTCTATACATATTATTTTGAAGTCCGTCAACCTTAAAACCTAACAATGTGTAAACGGACTCTCTAAATTCTTGACTACTCTTTTTAAAAACTTCACGTAGCCTTTGATTTTGAATTTCTTGAGATTTTAATTTTTCTTTAAGTCCTAAAATGTAATAAATATCATAAATTACAAGTTACATAACTTTAAAAAATATGTACTAACCTTCTACTTCTTGAGATGCATTTGTTTCAACTCTATTATCTACTAACTGTGTCAGATTCATAGAAATACCTTCCTGCATAGCTTTAATTCGTTCCTTCAATTTTTCAATTTCCTGTTTAGCTTTAGCTAATTCATTTTGATAATGATTGAATCCTTCGGATGCAGGATTCATTCTACAAAAAGATTTAAAATGAATAAATTAGATAGTTGTTGAAATTTCATACGTTGTGCTACATACTTGAAATGTAACACTTTGGTTTCTTTTAAATTAAAATCTCCCTTCAGAGCTCTATGATCTATTTGATCATTTAAATCAATACATTTGGCTTCCAATTCTTTACATTTATTAATAAGTTCTTCTTTTTCTTTTAAAAGTAGATTTTTTTCATCTATCCAACGTTTATTATTATCAATAGGCACATATATAGATGGATCAGTCTCGATTTGATTCATACGCAATTTGTAACCATTTATAGCTTTTTCTAATACTTCAATTCTAGTATCTTCACCATTTATATTGCCTATGACAGTTACTTCTTTTTGAAATGAATCTAAAAGTTCTCTCAAATCATTGCGCTCCTAAAATATTGGTTTATAAATTAAATAAACATTACAATTATCTATACAATTTATATATACCCATGTAATAATGTAGTTTTGCTTCTTTAACCGTTTAATGGTTAATTCGTTTTTGGTGTTATTATTTGTTAAAATAACTATTTGTTCTTTTGCTTTAATTAACAGATCTTCCATCTGCTTCAGTTTTAATTCCAATCGAGCAATACTAAAAAATATATTAAAAATTAAACACATAACCAAATATTGTTCAAGAATAAATAATGATTCTTTCTCAATAATTTAAGACAACAAAAACAAAATTAATCGTTTAAAAATATTTTTACCTGGTTTGTAATTCTCCCTTCTCATTAACTAAAAATAAATCTTTTTTCTTTAGATTGTCAACATAGTAACGCAAATATTCTGGATAACACTGAGATTCGGTAACATTTTCACAGACTTCTTTACAAACATCAATCCATGCTTTCAAACGATCTTCACTAACTGCTAGATTTGATCGTAATTGCATTGCTTCTTTTTCAATTAATTCATGTTTGTTCAATTTACTTTCAAGTGTAGCAACTGTATTTTCTAGGATTTCTGTTTGCTTTACATCATTTCTAAGAAAATTAAAACAAAAAAAAATATTTTGAATTGTATAACAACTGATTTTATTCACAATAATGAATAATAAAATAAATAATTTGTTAAAAGTAAATTGTCACCTGTAAATAGCTACTTCTTCTCTTAATGAAATGAGTTCATTTTCCATAGAATTGAACCGTTTCAATTTTTCTCGTTGGGCATTAACTACCATAGCACTTTCTTGTAAAGAAGCTAATTCATTTTCCAAACACTAAAAATAAATAAATTAGTCTTGATAGTCAAAAAGAAAATTTCTAACCTACTTAAAAAATATAAAAGAAGGTAATTAATAAGTTCCAACAATTAAGTATAGTTACAAATACTCAACTAAAATATGAACATGTACAAACAAATAAAGTATAACCTACATTATATACATTATTTATAATTTGTCTTATAACATATCTTTTTAATTACTTTAATTCTTTGATTAGCAGTGTTCATTTTGACTTGATCATTTTCCAATGTATTTATTTCAATTTGTTTTTTCCTTAAATTGCTGGTTAATTCTTCAATGTACTTTTCATTTGATCTTAGAGTTTTTTTTAGTTCATTTAATTCATAATCAGTACAATTTCTTGATACACTTTCATTTTGGTATTTTGTAAGCTCTAAAGTCACCTACAAATGTTGATTTTAAAAATTTTAAATTTAATAATAAACATATCTAGCAATTAACAATCTTACACTTTTACTTTTAAATTATGGACGTAGTACCCATATCATCCAGTTTTTAACATAATTTGAAAAAGAGAAAAAAAGATTTTTTTCTTTCACAAAATTAATTTTTCAATTGCAAATCAAAATAGGCATTATTGGAATCAGTGGACTTTAGACCATAAAATAACAAACAGCAAAGTGGCAACCTCTTTTTCCTTGTTGGGGTCAACAATTGTTTTTTTCATACGAGACCAACCACCAACCTTAGTTTACTTAGACTCACTAGAATCCTACTATTATCAAATTAAAAGAATCTAATTCTGCAATTATACTACTAATTATATTCATAATATTTTAACACACTAGTGTCTGGTAGACAGGACAATACACCTCCAGAAAACCTTGGGTTCTGACACTTAAAAACTTTACCAACACTCTTGGAAGAGCAAGTTGGTGCATGACCTGTTATGGTGTCTTCAGCAATAGTGAATGGGTGATAAATGACGCTAGTTTATGTAATCCACAGAAAAAGTGTTTATGATGTATACCAGAGAATTATCGATTGTATAATAATTTATACTTAAACTATACTACTATTTAATAATTATATTCAACAGTACCAAATTTCAAATCTAATTTTTGAATATATCTAAATTCTTATTATTATTTATAATTTAAAATTAAATAAATGCAATTATAAAAATCAAGAATTTCAGTGTGGTTAGTTAAATTTCTACTAAAAATGGACAAGACTATAAAAAATATGGTTAATATATTTACACCGGTCAGTTTATCTTCAAGTTCCTTATTTTCTTTTTCCAGATTTGATAGATTACGCCGGTTTTCTTCCATTACTGACTCAAGTTTTTTCATTAAACTATCATTTTCTTCTTTTAAATTGGATTTTTCATATCGGATTTCTTTAAGTCTGTTATCCAACTGATCAATCTAAAACCATTAAAATAAATTGATAAAATATAATATATGTACAAATGTTTTCTTAAAAATATTCCGAACCATTATTTGTGATTTGTTGATGTTGTGTTCTAAAGCAGATTTTTCTTTATCAAATAAAATATCTGATTCTTTTTTAAGGTTAAACAGAGTCTTATTTCTTTCTTGGAGAGAGGCAATTTCTGCACGAGCATTAATCAACTCTTGTTTTATGCGACGAGATTCCCAGGGTGAAGTTACAGGCGCTTAAAATACAAAATTGTTATTAATAATAGTATAAGTTTTTATTATTAAAATTTGTAACCATACTTAGCATAGATTCTTGTAAATCGGGACTGCAAGATCGTCGTCGTTTATTTGATAGTAACAATGAATCATTTGAAGACATCATGCTGGTATCATATCGCATCCTCAATGGATTTGTCCGATTATTCGATCGCAGATCGTCCAATATTTTGATCACAAATGTTTGATCATTATCTTTAGATTTATTCATGATGATTATGATTTAGAAGTAGTGTTGGTAATATAACGACTATTTGGATCAAATGAAAAGGTTTTTAATTTTTTTCATTAAAATTCCATAATATAGTATACAATTATAAACATAATATTATCAAATGAAATACAGGAATAATAAAATAAAAACCTTTAGACAATGTTGCATAAACATCAATTCACATCATAACTTAATAATTAAACGTCAAACAAACGTAATCGACAATAATGATTAACAACCAATAACGACAACCGACAAATAGAGAAGTAGAGAGTAGAGACTGTCTACCGAGTACTGTTTACTATTTTTTTTATAACAAGTTATATTACTGTTGGTGTTTCTTCTGTTATCAGCTTCGTACACAACGCAGTGGGTCGCGATCTTTAATATGAAAAGGAGAAAGACGACTCTCTCACTCTAGCAAAGAGCAAAGAGTTGTTTGTCGTTTGTATTTATGTATTGTAACCTCAAATAATTTTTCAATTATTTCAATATTTCCCGGCGTACGATAAGATAAATTTAATCTATTCTGTGATAAGGTCGAATCATGGCTAAGTAATACTGAATATTAGAATATTTGAACAATTAGGGTTGCATCACGGTCTTAGATTATTAATTACTCTATGCTAATAATTAATATGCTATAATAGCAACATTATTCTATTCTGTGATGGTACAAAAAGTGTTGATGCTCAAGACGTGAGGAGATTCCTAACGTAGTAACGTGAATTACCTCTTTTTTTTTATCATATACGAACATATCTATTTTCAAAGAAGTTATAATATACGTAATAGAGGGAGCTGATAAATGCTTAATACAAAAATACGAAAAATCTCGAGATTTGAGGTTATGGTCATTATTGGGATTTAAAATTTTAAATGTTTATTTTTTTTTTTATTATTATTAAATTTTTCTAGTTTTTAATTTTTAATACTTGACTCTCCGTCTTTTGGAGATCTGGGATCTCAAATTTTGTGAAAACAAATGATTTATTAGATTGAATTAACCGGTACTTTTGAATTGATTATTGATAGTTTTTATTAGTTGATTTAAGTAAACGAACGTTTTGTTATTAGTGCTGTAAATTATAATCGTTTTCACTCCCCAAAATGCATATTAAACATGTATGTATTGAATTTGAAATATATGTATTATCATGTCAAGTTTATATAACGTTTTCCGATAACGTACCTATCGATTATGACATCGAAATTGATGTTAAATCAATTACTATAACATTAGCAGAAAAAGACATATACATTTTAAACATTAAAGAGTATACACTTGAAGAAGATGAAATTAGTGATATCAAAGTTTATGGCAACAAATTGCTGTTTCGTGCTCAGTTGAATAGTTGCCCCAAAACTGAATCGTCTTGCTTTTCATTCGCGCCCAAATACATGCCTAAAGTGAAAAGTGCCGAAGAAGTCTTCATTACATGTTGCTCATGTCAAAAGTTGTTTGACACAAAATCATTTAACTTTCGTAGAGTCTTACCGGTAGAATTATATGAAGTTGATCATATGTTTTGTCACGGAGGAACAGACAATTTAGTTTTTCATCCGCAAGAAGATGACTGCTACTTCGACAAAGTATCAATCTATATAAGAAATAAACATTGGACATCGTCCAATTCCGTCAAATGTAAAAACTGTGATTTGTGTATAGGTGTATGCGTAGAATACGGATTAAGATTGTGGTTGGACTCTGTCAGTTTTAAATTTGGCCTTAATGATGAACAAACATATGCCCCACCATATGACTGTTTTGCTATTTTAATAGATGATATTGTTAAAACGATGCTTGGACCAATTTCACATGTTATTATGAAATTCAAGGATTCTGTAAATGCCTTTCATTATATATTAATGAAAGTCGTTAAAAAAAGTGAATTCGCTATTGCTTTAAATCCTAATTGTAATAACATTATTACACTTGAAAGGAAAAATTGCTCAAGTATCATTTGGCATACATATTCTGATTTTGTGGAAAAATGGAGAAATGATTACTTTGTGACAGAAATACAAATATCAGAAAGAATGTATCAAAGTGCAATTAAATATTTAACTGAAATTAACAAACAATTCCTTATTGGAAACTGTTTACCTGGAATTGAGAAAGCACGAAAATCTTATTTATTCACTGATTTAACAGATATAGTTAAATAATTTCTACATTATTCTACAAAAAATATTGTATTACTATATTACCAATAAGAAATTACCCATATAATTAGTCATTACAATATGATTTCATGAATTTTTGTTAATTTGATTGTTTAATTGTCCATATTTGTTAAGATATTTTGTACAAAAACATTCCATTTATAATGTATCATTGTAATGTTTTATAAATAATGATAATTTTAATATATACTTGATTTAATTAATATAATATGTTATAATACTATGATAAATGGAATTAACTATTGTATTTTTAATTTTATTATATAATCTCAGTCAGATCATAACATTATTCTTAGGAATTTAAATTTAATATCATATTGAATAAACGTTTTTTTTTCTTTTATTAATGTGGTTTTGAAGATTTTGTCAAAATTGATGATTTTTTATGTTTTCTTATTAAGTTAAGAATGTGAACCATCAAAATTAAAATTATATAGTACTAATATTTTTAACATTTTTTCAAAAAATTTGCTCAAATTAATTGATTTAAATCTACTATATTAAAATAAACGCTATACACAAATACATCAGCACTGAATATGAACTGAAGAAATTAAACTAAAAATTCATTATTAACTACTTGTTGGTTTTCCTGCGAATGATAACATTAAACAGTTGTTGAAAAATTACTGATAAGTGATAACAAATAAATAAACAATATTATTTTATAGGTAAAAAATGTATCCAAGGTTGGTCTAAAGATATTTACCAAAGTGACCGACCATATAATTAAGAAAAAAATAAATACCAGAAGTCCTAGTAATATTAGCCAATAGCTTAATAGCTTCCTTAATCAAAACTAAAAAGCTTAAAAACAATTAAGTTATTTATTATTGATTTTTGTATTACCTTAAGTCTTTCACTTCTTTAATAATTGTTTTGGTTATACCTTCAATACTTGAATTTTCTATTAATTTTAATTGACCTCAATAAGGTATTAAAGTTTTCCTCATAAAAAAATTTAACATGTTGAGAAGGTATATTTTATACACTACCAATAAATTTGTCAATTGTCGGCATGTCTCCCAATCAATGGTACAGTCTACAGTTGATGAAAAATCAGGTACCGTTGTTTAATATAGTTCTAATTTTCTATTATATCAATTTATCTATTTTGTTTTACTATTCCTTATTATACCAGAAACTGAGATACCGGCTCATTTTAAATTTAAATTTAATTTTTATAGGCATAGCTACTGTGACAATGAATAAGCCACCCGTTAATAGTTTAAACCTTGAGTTTTTAGATGAAATTAATACTCAACTTAATAAATTACAAAAAGATAAAATCCGAGGAATGATATTAACATCAGTATGTATATTTTTGTAGGTGAACAGAGACATATTCAACTATTTTGTATTAATATTTAATTTCAGGGTTTGCAGAAAGTGTTTTGTGCAGGATTAGACATAACAGAATTTTATAATCCAAATCCTGATAGATTAGCCAAATTTTGGACTACCCTACAAGATACTTGGCTTTCACTTTATATGGCTTCATTTCCTACTGTAGCTGTCATAAATGTAAAGCAATTGCATATTTATTGATTAAAATGTAGTAATTAAGTAATGTATACTTACAGTGAAATTTTGAATTCATATGCTTGAAACATATTAAAAAAATTTTATTTCAAAATAATTAAGTTATATGAGTAAGTTGAGTATGTAGTATGCAGTGCAGTGTTTGGTAGTAACGCTGTAGTTATTTCATTATATCTTATTTAAATTAATGCAATCATAACTTTTTTAAAGTAATTTCTATGGAGTATCATGTTATTTTCTATATTATTGAAGTAAGTTATGAATGTAGAATTTATGACAAAAACTTGGGGCTAGGATGTTAGAGAAAAATTAAAAATCAATAAAATTTATTTGCGATTCCAAAAGTTTTAAATTATAAATAATAATCAACAATATTTTTAAAGATCCTAGGATCTAACACTTATACATTTTGTTCATGCATAACAATTCATTAACCAACTACCTACTTTACTTACAACTTATTTTTTTTTTCAAAGAAACATTTTTTCTAACACCTTACTTTTTGAATAAAAATGTAAAGTAACGTGATAAAAAATAATGTCAGGTAACACAATTGTAATTTAAATATAAATATTTGATGTGACGCATGACATAATTTAATTACTTCTCAAAAGCAATTTATCCAACACTGGTAATATTATAAGATGTACTTGGGTCAAAATATTTATTATTAGATTACATTAAGGATTATGAAAATTGAACTAAGATATATATTCTTGCATTTAGATTTTGGTATTCATTGTATTTAACTTAATTTAGTACAAATTAAATAATTTAAAAAAATTGTTATAGGATTATAGGTTATTACAGTCATTGCTTTTTAACAAATTGGGGTGTAAACTGTAAAGTAAAAAATTAGTGTTGAGAAAGAACATACAATTAATGCCACAACATTAAAAACCTATTATTAATATTTAATGTTAAAAAATATATATTCTCATTTCTTACATTTTGTTAAATTTATATAAAGGGTCATAGTCCAGCAGGAGGTTGCTTATTTGCTATGAGCTGTGATTACAGAGTTATGGTCGGGCCGAATTATGCAATTGGACTTAATGAGACTAAATTAGGAATTGTTGCTCCAAAATGGTAAAATTAGATTAACAAAATAATTTTAGCAACAGCTAAAATACAAAACTTAAATTCTTTATACAAATACATTTTGTATTAATTATCTACTAGGTTTCAAGATACTATGGTAGCAGTTATTGGACAAAGGAAAGCTGAAGTGTCATTGACCACAGGAAAAATGTATACTACTGATGAAGCATTGAAAATTGGTTTGATCGATGAAAGTTTGCCAGATGCAGACAGTGCTCTTAAGAGAGGAACACAGTTTTTAAATAATTTCCAAAGGATATCCCGTGAGTAGTGTTTAGTTAAAAGAATTATATTTAATTGTAGAGATTAAAATTTAGTGCTATTTATTTTACAGCTTGGGCATATAAGATGACTAAAGATATCAGTCGTCAACCAACTATTCAATGGTTAATTGATAACAAACAAAAAGATCTTGATTTTGTTCTTAACTTCATGCAATCCCCAGAAGTTCAAAAAAGTCTTGGGCTTTATTTACAATCTTTAAAAAAATAAAATAAAAATATAGTTTTATACATGGGTTTTTAATTTCATCTTTTTAAATTATTAAACAAATACCTATATCAATTTTTACAAAAAATAAAATTAATAGAAATCTCTGGCATTAATGTTTTAAAAGTATTGTACATATTATTAAATTTAAAAAAATGTATAGCATGATATTGTATGTTTTGTTGAATAATATTATTTCAAATGAATTTGTAATTGTATTAATTATATTATTTTATTTAACATATTATTAAAATATGTAAACTTAAATAATCTCTTAATGTATTAAAGACTTACTTTAGTATCGCCCAACATATGACTGTTGATTACACCATTTCACCATCTATAATATTCCTCATCAGTTCTTCTAATAATTCTGTCTTAGACGAAAGTTTTCTCATATTCCCAAACTATATAACTATAAATTCAAGAGATCTCTCTTTTAAAATATCTAAAATCCTTAAATTTATCCAATGTATCTTCCGAGTTTAAATTGGACAGTTTGTTTAAGATTTTTTATTGCTCCTTGTATATCCATCATGTTCTCGATTACAGATCTGTTCTTTGGGACTTAAACTGTGTGTTGATGCCCAGGTCATTGAAAAGGCTCAATTTAAATCATTAGCCACTTATTCTCTAAATGTGATTATGGTCCTTTCTGGCCTATTCATAAAGTTTTAAATCGTATTCAGCATTCCTAATCATTGACACATTGACTGGCAACTCAATTGACTAAACCCCTTTAATCCTTTCACAATTCAGTTTTTAAGTCCCACCTCGCAATACTACTTTCCATTTTTTCTTTTTATTTATCTATTAAGAGGATGTCAGCTCAATATTTATTTTCTCTCTCAAACCCACATATATTACAAAAACTATAGGGAATAATATTTTTGTGAGTGCCATGTTGGTTTTATATTTTATTATTGAGGAGTGGTGTAGGTCATCGTAAGGATATATTACATTTGAATTCAATTATATAAAATCATTGTATATGAAAAACAATTCTGAGTAAAGACTATATTATACACATATTGGACTTAAAAAGCAAGTTAACTAACTTGAAAACTAACAATAATAATCCACAAATCACTTTTTAAAAACCTATTTGAAGATACAGACTTCAACTTGGAGGCTCAGCCCAAATCTAATACAAATAAAATACAAACATTCCAAAACATCTTGCTTTATAAAATTACTTATGCTCCCGTCTCTGTCTAACCATACTCTCCACAACTACCTTCATACCAAAATAATTGACGAAGAAGCCAAAATTGACTATAGTCAATTCCTCAATAAACTCGACACCCACTAAACCCACTCATAAAAATTGTGCAAATATCAAACTTCCACGGCAATTCCCAACGCATTTTAAAAAAGAACACGGTGTCATGATCTTCTATAATATCATACCTGAAAAATCACTGAATACCTATGATTATTGATTAGTATTTAAATTTAAGTGTCACTGAAACAATGACATGGAGCAATAATGAGTGGCTTCTTCCATCAATGTTTTTTCCACCATTTATATGTTAATTATCAAATATTCTTATTATGTATTTTTCGTATGTATGGTTTATCTCATTATATGTTTTAAAAAAATATATACATATTTAATTTTTTAAATGTTGTTTTTTTTCAACTAAAAACGATGTGAAAATTTTTTTCAAAAAAATGAATACTTTTTGAAATAATGATTGGTTTTTGATAAAAGGATCATCTGGTATCTAAATTGGTCAGAAATAAGAAATATTGTACTATATAACAACTTACAAGTTATAAATTTTTAAATTTAAATATAATTAATTTAACATAACTTCAATACTTTATTAAGTTTTATTTTATATAGGTAGTAACTTAAATTGTGGCATAGATTTCTAATGTAACAAATATTACTCTTAATCTGTCAAAAAGACTGTGTTAATTGTATAATTATAATTATATAAATTATTATTGCATAATGATCTCACTAAAATGAAATTGTATTTATAAATCATGTATTAGATTATACTTAAACAATTCAATTGTTAAAATGTAACCTTGATTGCTTTATTTTAAACAAAATACTAACACTGAACTATCATAAATTATATTAGTATTAATATTAAACAGCATAAAATAAAAAGCTAAAGAAATTTAAAGCTTGAAGACGTTAACAGATTTTATTATAATCAGTCTATTGAAAAATAGAGCGATAATATAGCATGGAAAATTTAGGCCGAGAGGAAAAAGGTAATCTAAATTTAGTATAGTGAGAGAAAGGATGGCAATTGATGTAAGTCGCATGCTAACCTGTCACAATAGGGCAGGGACACATTGTACATCATGATCATAAACTGTGATTATGCTCCAGGTTGAAAGCATGATTAGGCGGGAGATTATAGCACAGAATATAATACTAAATAGGCTGATGTATTGACTTTGATTGTACTGTTAACTAGCTTTAATATTTTTATGAAAAGTTTGGCAGTTACTGGCAGTATTCCATTGTTCAAGGTCTGTCTTTTAAATGTTTATGTAACTGTTTCAATCTGGCTAAAATTAAAATTGAACAGTAGTTATGATTCTAAAAGGTTATCAAAACAATCATTATCATAAAATACTTCACGGCATTGCAGCAATAAATTGCATTGTTCAATGTGGCAATGTCTAATCTGAACGATACTTTTTATGGTTAATAATAAACACATACAAATTGAACATTAGGTATTTCATTTATGCCTAAAATGTTTTTCATAATAACTTATTAAACAACAAAAAATATTAATAATGATTAAATTATGTACTTACTATGACAATAAAAACCAACAAATCTTGAACTGCATTTCAACTTGATTGAGATTTTTTTTAAATGTATTTATTTTTGATCTCATATTGAATATATTATACAATATAATATATAACTTATATAATATTATACTTAATAGTAAACATGTTTAATTTTAAATTGAAAATACAATTTTATCTAAGAAAAAATATGTTGATTTTAATCCATTTTCAGTAAAAGAATTTCATACAAAATTGTATTATTTTTGTTTTGATTTACATAATATAATAGTAGTTATAGTTTAATAAAATAAATGCTGTTAATTCAGCAATAATAACAGTCTTTTTGTGCTTTACTAGTTATAATTAAAAAAAAAAAATTACAACACAACACAAATTAATACTAAAATCTACTATAAGTGTTTCAAAATATTAAATAGTTTTGGAATAATAATCATAGGTAGTAAATAATTTTTAAGATTTCAAAAAAAATAAATACAAGAATGTATATTGTTGAAAAAAAAGATGTTAGACTCATATATTGCAATTCAAATAGCAAAACAATGTATGTATAGGTAGGGATGTCTCAAAACAAAGTAAACAATAAGAATGTTTTAACTATTAATTATTGCAATGTCTTTATCTCTCCTTTTGATTTTTATGATTATAGGCACAAGCCATCTATGAGGCCATGAAAGTCTTGCTTCAAATTCAATTTTAATAATATACACTAAAAATTATTTGGAAAAAATGTGTAAAATTAATATTTTTGAAAATCAATTATTATATCATTATGATTATCAATATACAATACAAACAAAAATTATAATTTAAAAGTGGGTAGGTATTAACATAAATATTAAACATGATTACATGAGATTGCAATACAAATTTAAAACTATTGCAAAAGTAAATACACACTATAGTAAAGACATGGCATGGTAATAATAAATTAGACTAGATAGATGTTTAAATAATACTGTATAATACTAATAAATTTTGTAGATTGTATGTTAAGCCCAGGAATTTGACTTATTAGAACATTTTTTTTCTATGAAAAATTAATAATGTATTATTAGTTGTTTACAAATATGTATTGCTTTTTTTACCTACATCAATAAAATATACATTAATTTTCCTATGTTGACGCTATTGTAGGCTACGTAAATATGACTGAATGTCACAAGACTAGAAAAAGAAAAAATCAATTAAAAAAATTGTATGACTCAAGTAATATACCAATGGTAATTTTTCTTAGTTATGGCTAATTATATTATTATATCCAAAATTGTATTAGTTAAAAACCAACTATATATGTTAAGTATTGAAACTAAGGATATTTTTTAACATAAGAAATTTATGTTATTTATGGATATTTTAAATTAAAAATAATTTAAACTAATTTAAAAAGAAAGTGAAAGAAATTTAAATGTTAAGGTCTTGAGAAACACCATACCCGCATTTGTTTTCTTTATTGAACATTTAAGTTCGCATTTAATTTTGTTAGTTTTAATATTATTATAAATTTACCAATTATCAAACCTAGACATAATAATATTGTTAGAAGTGTATTTATAATACTTTAATTCAAACTCTCAATATTGATATTCAGAAAACAGACTATGTTGTTACCTTTAAATATGATAGGCAATTCAACGTAATATTACAACTAACAAAACAAAATGTAAATTACTGAATTTTCTACTTTGTAAGTTATATTATTATTCATAACAGTAGTCGTAATCGCAAAACAATCATAATCATTTTGATATTATTTTATTTTTATGAAATAAATGCTATGTGAAATAAACCCAATGAAAATTATTTCACAAGGTTGAATTGAGTATTTTACTATACAATTTTGCATAGACAAGAATAAAAAAAATTATGAATAATATTAGTCAATATTAAATTTAAAAAAATAAAAACCATGACTATAGAGTATAAAAAATAAAAATGATAAATATTATAATTTATTATAAAATGAGTAGTTATTTTCCTGGGCTCTTTAACTAATGCAAACTCATAAAAGTAGAGTATATAGGTGTAAGGAAGAATTTTAAACAATAATTATAATATTAATAAATAGTTATATGGTGAAATTAATACTACTTGCTAGAATTTGATTTTGTACAATCAAATTGTTTTACCCTATCTGGTATACTAGCTCTTTCAACAGGCACACAGTCATAGAGTTCATCTAAACTGTTGATGAAATGTATCTTGTTGCCAAATTTTGAGCTTACAAATGGTTTGATCATTAATACAAGCGTTTTCAACCAAAACGTCGGATGAACCAAGTACAAAAACTTCAAATTTTTCCTTAGTTTTCTATCAATCATCTTATAACAACGTTTCAGCCAAGAGAAACCAGGAACACAATCCTTAGAAGTACCCCCTTGCAGATAGACTAGAACATAGTCTTCTGTAACTAGTTGGTCCAAAGTTGAAACTACATATGCAAATAAATTATTCATAACATAATTGTAGTCTACACGATCACGATGCGGTAAATAGCATGCACTAAATATAATAATAGCATTGTGTGAACCAGTTGTCATGTAACCACCATGTGATAGCACACACTTATATGGCTCTATTACTTTCATATCAATTTTACTAACAACACCAGTTACCGTACAAGACCTCCAGTTACGTTCATCTTTGAGTTCTTCTTCAGCTGTTAACTCGGGTATTGATTTGTTTCCGAGGTCCACATTTAAGAATCTATCAGTATTGTCACTGAATTCACTACCGGAACTTGATTCATAGTCATAATCATTAGCTTTGTTGTTGATAGGTATCAATCGACGTCTGCGTGATGGAAGATTAATGGATAATGGATTGTCACGTGTCAGATGAACACTTTGTAGATTATTTGTTAAAAAAGCGCATTCTTCTTCTTGAATTTTAGAATGTTCACAAGAAGCATTACTAAATGACAATGAATGGTTTATGTCTAAATGTGTTTTACTTGCCACTTGAGAATCAACTGCATAGGTATGGCACAGCAAATCTGGTTGAGAAATATCCTCCATATTATTGTCATTTATTGATTGGCTGCTCGCAGCAATGTCCTTTTCGTTGTCCATAGTGTATGTATTTTACACGACTGAAACCAAACCATTCTTCATTAAATTCCATTTTGTTTTGTTATTATTTTATTTTTATATTTTGCTCCACTGAAAAAATTAATTGAACTCAATTGACAACAGAGATGGACGAATGAATGAAATGTTTAACATGAAATGATTTATAAATGCATAATTATCTTTAGCGACACTGTTACTTTTATAGATAATTTCCAATATTTTAAAATATGTACAATATGTGTGATATGTACATAACAAGACGTTTTCAGTAGCATTAAACTAGTAAACCAAATTAATTTGGATTGAATATCTAAATTTGTTAAATCATATTACGCTTATCATGGGTAAAACTTAATGTAGTTTGTATTACATGAGGGAAACTTATCCACAAACGGAACAAACCTAAAATAATGTGCAACATAAAACAGACAGCAGTACATAATATTTGCATACTCAAAAATTCTAATAACGTTATAGACTTAAAAATATAGTTTAAATATAAACAACTTTTTTCATTGCTACATAAAATTTATACAACTTCACAAGTAGTAAATGTAAATAGATACATTTTCTATATTATATGCGAATAATAAATCACTCAAATGTTGGTTGATAATATTTATAAAAGTTTGTGAAATTAATTTAAATGTTTGATAACCTAATTAAAAATAAATAAATATTTATTTATAGTTATTATTTCTTTTTTCAATATTTCTATTTATCTTTTTTATTAAGAAATATGCATGACAGGCTGGCTTAGGATGATTATTTCATCGTGTTTTTTATGATTTTATTGTAATATCAATACAACATTATACAAAATTATAACCATTTAAAAGATTTTAACTATATGAATTAATTAGAAATATGTTAAAATTATAAAATCCAAATTATTTATAACCAAGTCAAAAATTTAATTATCAAATTTTCTTTGTTAATAAATTTTAGTGAGTAAGTGATTTAAATAAAAATAAATAATTTCAAAAATATTTAACAAATTACTGCGGTTTTTACTATTATTTATTTTTAAATTATATTTTATTATCCAAGATATATTTTTTCCCCCTTTATTGTTGTATACACAATATTTACCTCGGGGGTACAATAAGAGTATTAGCTAAAATACAAAAAAAATATGACATGAATAAACTTGACAAAAGCAACCACCCAGTGATGACACTTTTAAGTAAGGTTACACATTAATTTATACATATATATGTATATATTTTATTTTATAAGTCAATATATCTCTACACCAGTTGCGTTTTAAGGACCTTGCAGAATTACGAGGAATATCATCTAAGATTTTAACATAAAAAATCAACTCTTAATTAACCTTCTTTGAAATGTTTAAAAAATGTATTTATTCATTACTTAGTTTTGAAAAATATCAAATATTCAAATAGGTGTTATCACTGAGTGGAAGGCACTTTTAATTATTTTTTTTTGCCTAATAGTTTTACATTAAATAGCTATAATATAATACCTATTCTCTGTCCAGCAAGAGAATGTGTCAATTTTGGTTGGCCTGTGGCATGTTCTCTCGCTGAACAAAGTATAAATCTTAATATATAACATTAATAATTATTAATATCAAAATTATCATTATGTTTACATAAAATATTGTAAGTGATTTAATTTTTACACTACCACTACAAATATTATATTAAGTAACAATACTCATAAAACTTAATACTTCTGAGAAATAAATATATATTTATTTTACTGTAAGAAAGCAACACAACTAAACTGTAAGTTGCATCCAGATATTTACTTCAAATCTTAATTTGACTTTTAAATATTTATTTTATTACTAAACATAGACCACTAAAATTAAAATTAAAAAATTAAACTCAGAGTTAAAATAATATATTTTTTATTTTTTTATTATGTTCTACATTTTAATACAATTCTTACAAATTTTTCCAATTTATTTTATATTATATTACATAAAAAAAATTAATAATAATAATATATAATATATAAATTAGGAGTATTGTAAATTTTATGGCTGATCAGTAAAACCATAAAGTTTAATTTCACAATTTAATGACATAACTGTAGGCCTAAATAACAATTTTAAATTACAATGGCTGTTTATGTTGTAGTTTTTCAATAACCCATTCTATAGCTTGTCTTCCTTTTGCTGCATTGCCTGAAATTTTACTGGTAAGTATATTTTCTATATATCCACTACATGGTAAGCCTTCTACAGTGACATAAGCTGTTTGTTTGAGTAAAGTTTTTTGTGGATCATCAGGATGTGGCTTATATGTGAGCTTTTCTCGTACTATGACAAATGGTCCCATTGATAAGTTTTGACTATCTAGCTTTAACTGCCGACGATCTCGATTAACTTTAGAATACTCACTGGCATAAAATGTACTTATTGGACCCATTAATGCACATGCCCAGTTCGGTAATGTCCATCTAGTAGTAACTAATCGATGTGAATGTAATTCTCCATTAATTACTTGCCGATCAATAACATCTATTCCAAGGACAGCTGTGTTCATTGGATTTGGGTACTTGTTCCAAGCTGCTTGAACTACTGTCTCCCATGGATAGTTAAATGTGTGTTGAACAGTCCAGATTTTCATGATGAAGAGAGATCACAGGTATCAGCTTTCACGATATTTCCTAAATTAAATCACACCAATGTCTTTTGATGTAAACAAATATTTAAGATAGGAAGTGAGTTTTATTAAAAATAATTTGGGTTAATGTGTCTAATTTAGTATTAATTATAGTAAGTACCTATGTTTTCCTAACTAATTAAAACAAATCTTAGATAAGTACATTTTTATTCATTATGATATATAGACTGATTACAATAAATAAACATACCTATAGAGTGATTATTTAATCATGAACTAGTAAATAATAAATATTGAAAATAGCCTAGCTATTTTTAAAAAATAGTGTGAATTTACATTTTTCAACCAATTATCAGTTTTTAAAATATGATGTACCTCATATTTAGTAATAATAATTGAATACTATTAATAAACCAAAAGTTGATACACAAGCAAAATTATTGAGTGTGAACAGACTTCTGTGAAGTATACAATTTTACCAATACATACTTTATAAATTATTCTAATAAAAAAAATATTGACGAATTGGTGTAATTGTCCATAAATAATCACACTATACAAATATTATAATTTATATTTTATGTATACCCTAGTATATACATAAATAACAAAAAATAACATAGGTAGCTTATTTATTGTAATATTTAGTAATCACGTGCACTTATTAATAGCCAGGGTCACTTTAAGAAATGTCTTACAAGCAAATTACAAATTGTTTGCTTCAATAACCCTATTACCACTTTAAAATTAACATAGGTAAGTAAATATAATTTATTTCAGTTCATTTTTCATAGATAGATCCCTAATGATTAATTTTTTTATTAAGCTTGAAACTGAAAATACTACTCTTCTAAATCTCAACCAATTTTTTATTTTTCATCATCTCAGTATAATAAAATATTTGAGATAATTTTGGAGTATAGATCCATTTTGTTAATATAATTCATATGCATGGGTACCAAATTTGTACAATATTAAGGACTCAATTGGTGTTCTTTTAAATTAATAATTTTAAAAAAAATACCTATATTTTAACTAAGTGCCTATATTTTTGATTTTTATGTTAAGAACAGTCTTTTACTTGTGTTTTATGCATTTATAGTTTTCAATATTATAACTAGCATAAGTATTTTGCTTATTTCATGTACAGTAATATAATTATGTCCCACTAATGTAGATTATTAAAATAAATATTCAAAAGTACAGTAAAAAAATATAAATAAGTAATAAGAAAACATCGAAAAAATGAATAAAGTGAATTTATAAATGTATTTGAATGGGTGCAATAAATTAAAGTGATCTATATTAAAGGTATTTTTTTTTAATTAAACTACTTAACTACTTTCCCCCCTAGATAACCAGATAACATTTAAAAATAACTAAGTGTTAGTATTATGGAGTTTATACAATGTTTTCGATAAGGGCATGCAATTTTTATAATCCCCATCACTAGAGACCTAAGTCAAACTTCCATAACCAATAATTATACATGTTATGTTAGTATTCTGCAAGAACAATCAATTACAGATTAGAGGTTGGTGGTCATGCCATGATAAATAACTACCAGAACCCAAAATAATATCATATCATATAAAAACGTTGAATAAGTATAATAAAATAAACAGTTAAATATTTTTGAATTATTTACTAAAAAAAGTGATAATTGAGTTACAAAAGGCTTATAAAAATTAGGTACCGATTTTATTTAATATGAATATTATTTAGGTAAATACAGGGATAAATTGTGTGGTTTTAAAATTTGAAATAGTTAAGAATTTAAAATTATTATACTACTAATTAGTTTACTACCTAGGTAAATTTATTGAATTTTTAAAGAGATATTTACGATTTATATTATATATATTAATATATTATTATATATTTAATATATATTAATATAGGTACCTGTGATAACTTATTCATTCTATAGGTATAGATATTAGATACAAAAATTTAGATAGTCTGAAAAGAAGTATTATTTTGTTAACAAACTAACTTGTTTAATATTTTGAATGGTATTAAGTACATTTAAAATATAAATGTATTGAAACATTATGTGCTCAGATTTTATGAGCATACCGTCAATGACTTTAATGGTATTTCATTGAAATCATAGTTCAGAGGTCATATAAATGAAGAAAGATATGTTTATGTGTCAATTAAAAAAATAAAACTAGAGATGACATTCTACTGATGACAATTGCGCATTAGTATGATTAAATTACTATTAATTTGGTTGGACAATCATTGTAACATATTCTGGTGCAGAATAAGTAGGTAGGTACATTATTTTATCAGGTACAAATCTTCTCGCACTATACTACTAAATTACCACCAACGTCGAACCCAGAGCAGGCAACATTTTAAAAACAATGTTAGAATTTTTGTTAGGCAACAGAATAATAACATAATTAAGTACGTAAATAATATTATAATTAATTATTATGCAAGTTTGTAGATGATCTTTTGGCTCACCTGATGCGTGTTTAAACTTTATTTTATGGTCGAGCAAAGGATCCTTGAGCGTTAATTGCGTATAGTGATGTGGGTATGTCGCAACGGAGGTGTGAGTTTGCTTCTGGACAGCAATACGATACGTATTTTAGTAATATTTCATAGTCGAGCTTGTTCGACAACCGGTCAGCACTCAGCAAGGGCGACACAACGAACTATACGGCACTAAGGTCTATAAGACAGACCACAGACACCCAAAATCCGGACGGACGCGCACCGTCGAAGACGAAGACCAAAGTAATTTTTTTTCGACGCACAAGTCGTACGTCGCAGGTAATCTCCCTGTACTCTAGAACGTGAGTACCTGTGGGGAAAAGGAAAGAGAAAGACGGAAGGATCGAATATCGCCCGACGTACGGACGTCGATGTGCCGTAGTGGGCCGCAGATTATGCAAAAATGCAGCACAGCCATGGAGGAAAAACGTAAATGGTGCTTGTTATCGATTTCGCCACGGAATAAAACATATTATCTCTTTTTTCCTTCACCCTGGCGTGACCCGATGCGGGCCCGCTTATCATTGGAGTCCGTGTCCCGTGATGTGAAATAATATGAAGCAGCCTGCAGCAAGCTGTCCCTCTATGCTGCTGATGCGATGCAATATGGGCGAAATCAGGGAGAATATATTATAATAACAGTATAATTCTATTGACTTTGGGGTACTGGTCAATGGAGCATAAATTAAATATGGTTATGTGCATTATCTCTTTACAATTTACGCGCGTTTTTTTACATTATTTTCTTTGATCTTTCGTTCATAGTAAATATTGAGATATGAGAGTAATATTATTTATGTTCTAAGTGTGAGGGCTTAGAATTTAGATCATAGTGTTGTACGAAATACGACTTGATTCTATACTCTATTATGTTTTGTTTATAAGTTACAGGTGACGACAGTAATTATCTGCTACGAGTTGATAAATCAAAATTAATTATTATTATTTTTAAGATTTATTACAGTGATTCCATTTTGAATCTTAGAGTTTTATGGTAAAAACAATATTAAAACCGTCTTAATATATAAACTATAGTGTTATGGCTCCTCGAGGCAAAAAGCCAAAAGTAAAAAATGAAGAAGAAAACACAGAGTTGTTTGAAAAAAATCGTTTTATCATTTTGCCTGGTAAGTCTTTCAGTGCAATTATTTGTATAATTATTTGCATTAATAATTCTATTGGAGGTATAAATATTGTTTTTTTTTATGTTTGTCTTAGATGCTTTAGCAAAAGATGAAAATATTGATCGACAATTTATAAAACTGCGTCATCCTCAAACTAGTGAATTGGCTATATTTGTGTATTCAGGAAATGATAAAACTCTTGCCCAGATGCGATCCTTACCGCTTGGTCATAGGTAATTATATTTTTCAATGGTCTTTGTCTTGTTGAATTTTCCAATATAAAAATACTTTTACAGGTCATTTTTCAAAGGCAATGATGTCATTCCTGTTGATAAGATTGATTTTGTAACATTAGTTGATCCTACGTTTCTTTTTTTACCATATTTTGTCAAAGTAAGTATACCATTATACATTTTAGCATAAACAGATATTCTCCATTAAAGCTGTATTATTTTTATTACAGTTCATAAAGTTCAACACTGATTTCCACATTGTAGATAGTTTTATATTAGTAAAAGACAATGAAACATTAAAATCTTGTCACAAAGTTTAAGTGCTCATCTAGATTATTTCAAAAAAATTTAAAGGATAATAAAGATGAAAATATAGTTACATTTTTAATAAAGGCTAATAAAAAAAAAAAATGAAAATAAATAAAGTGCAATCAGAGAATTTATAGGATGGCCTTAGTTTCAAAATTATAACAGGTTAAAATTTAAAAAGCTTGCCTATTTTTTAAATACATTATTTTCCATTTACTTACAACCTAGTGGTTTAATGCATTTAAATTCTATGATTGAATCTGTTTTTTGAATTTTTTTTCATATTCTGAAATGCCCAATATGGTTTTCCATGATATGTTCTCTAATGTTTGATTGAGCACTGACCCACTAAGTCACTAGATGCTCCAAATAAATTGTTGTCTACCATTTCACTTGACCATGATGACTTGATAAAACAATTGATTAAAAAATTATTTTTAATAACTTACTTTGTAATTTTGTATTCAAAAACCGATAGTAAAATAAAATATTAGTAATAATTATATTTAATCGCATTTTTTTGTTCACATCAATTTTATGATTTATAGTGTTCTTCTATGTTCTGTCCATTGGATCAAATTTTAGTGGATGAACATCTTCCAGAAATAAATAACCTACTAATGAAACTATCGGAATTGACCAATTTAAAACAAATTGCTACTAAAAAAGGTAAAACATATTAATTGAAATAAAATTAATTATTATTAACTATTTTTTATCAACTTCAAGGTTTTTATTTTGCTCTATTAATTAACATTCTTAAACATTTTTTATAGAAGTTGGAGATTTAATTTTGTGGCAATATAATGAAAACAAAACTTTGGAATGGCTAACACCTAAAATAGAAAGAGTATCAAAAGTTTTAGTGGCACAACAAATAAATGTAAATCAAAATGCAGCCATTTCATCCTCATTTAAAGTGTGCGAGACAAGCATTCAAGCAACTGACGGTAAAATATTTATTCTATACTCTGTTCCATGGGTGTTCATGCCACCCGAAATAACAATGATGGGTTAGCTCTGCTCAACCCACACAAAATTCTCGATATGTGACTTGCAATTGTAGAGCTAAACTTTTCTTAGTCAACAGCAGCCAATTAAGTTTGTCTAGTACACTACACTTGGTCTTTGTAGATTACACTAGACCGCATGGAGAGGATATGACGGTGTAAAGGGTCAATGGACCTCATTCTTTATGCACAGAACTGGCATATTCTATCGTAGAACAGAGTATAGATGAGTTTTCATTTCTTCAGACTATTTATATATTTAAAAACAAATTTCTCTAACCCATTCCAAGAGAAACTGGACCAAGTGCCATCTATCTTACAAAAATCATTTAAATTATATAGTAATTAAAATATATATTTCAACAATCACCAATATTAACTTAATTTAACAGTAATAACTGTAAATTATTAGTTTGAAACAATTATTTCTTGTATGATAATAATTAATAAACTTGTTAGAATTAGCCAGATTACATTTCTTAAATTTACTATTATTGTATTATATTTTAACCTGTTGTATAGGGATAGGCTCAGCCCATTAATAAATAACTATACTATATATGGTTTTACCAATTAATCATCATTAATGGTTTTTTTGGGTTATGCTTTTTAAAATGAATAATAATGTATAATATTAATCAATAATTTGCATAATCATATTTTTAATACAGAACAATACAAAAGGTATGCATACAATATAATTTCGGAATATTTACCCATTGATATTCAAAAATCATTGTTGAAACATCTGGGGCTCCCAGATATAGTAGAATGTAATAAACGTAAAGCCGATGAAAATAAAAGTGATGTAAATAAAAAGGTAAAACACAAAGAAGTTGAATATGATGAGGTGCCTTTTCAAGTTATAAAGGTAAATCATTTTTAGTTTTATTATTATTATTTAGTTATAACTCTAGTTCGTTTTTATTTTTAGAATGTCACTCCAAAATTAACAGCTAAAGACAAAGCATTAAAAAAAGCTGCATCAGGAACAAAATCTATATCATCATTTTTTAAAAAAAGTGCCTAATTTTGTATTTATAATGGCATAATGTGTATTTAGTTCTTTATTTGTGAATTAAAAATTAACATTTTTTCAATAAAATATGTACATAGTATTTGTAAGAGTTTATTCATGATTGTCTTCATAAAAATTAAATAAATTAAATATTAAATTTATATTATTTTTTCTTTTTTAATTCATATTATAAATATCAATTTACAATCAGTCATACGGCATTAAACAAAACTTCATATTTTAATAGGTTAGTTGAATTATAACTAAGTTTGATTTCCATTAAATGAGAATATTTCAATAACAATTAAGCTTAAGTGCATCTTTAATGGTTTAACTCAAACTGATTCAATAGTAATGTGAACAATAAATATTATAATTTAATACATTTGAAATATTTTTAACACTATATAAAATGGTAGCACCTACTTATACAATAGGAATTACTTAACTTAGACATTTTTATCTTGTGCCTTAGAATATAGAAAAAAACTAGATTTTCCAATCAAGAACTTTCTGTAATTACTTTGACTTCATCATTTTCTAATGCGTTGGGATCGTGTCTAATTTTAGAGACATGGATTTTCTTATTTGACACACAAACAGAATAATGATAATGTTGAAACAAAACTATCAATAAATCAAATTAACAAATTAGTTTAAAATTAATTTAATTTTTAATTTGACATACTTGACATGTTTTGGAATTGTTCATCGGGTACATATAAGCTTTTACTAGTTCCAATTGTTTTTGATATAATGTCCGCAATTTTTTCATTATTTTCTAAATCACCACCTGACTGAAATGATCGATTAATTTGTTTTAGACATCAAGGATAGATCATTAGGTATTCGTAATAAATAAATTGTCTAATTAGTAAATAAATACGTTTCTTGTAATTTTACTCACGGAAATCACAGCTCCATCCATTGTCATGATCAAATAACCCATTTGCTCGGGAATCCTTTCCATCTTCCTTAATTGTTTGAATACACTTGGTTAACTTCAATTCAAATCTTTATACAGGTAATACTGTAAAAGTTTAATGTTTATTTTACCTAATCGTCCACTATTATTGTTCTATGATTATAGCCTAATTCCTTTCCGTCCCATCCTTACTGTTGTCAATCTTGTCAAACTTGGTAATCCATATCAAAAGTACTTCAGTGATAAGGAACTATGTTTGTTCGGTTGCATTTAACTACTTTTCGGGCTAAGCATTTGCAACAAGGCTACACAGACCTGTCCCTACCCTAACCTAACCTACAAGATTTTTTTTGAATACTATATAGTCTGTATTCTGTAACTATTTCCTTTATTTAAATAGATAAAATTCGTTCATCTAAAATATAATGGATAGTAGTTTGGAAGTTATCTACATCAATATCATTATAGTTATTCGAAAAAGCCACTAGTTACTGCAATTCCATCACTAACATTGTTTTTAATATTATAATATATATTATACAGAGTGATTACAGATTACTCAGTGCTCATCCCCAAATTTAGATTCTGACTTGTGAGTGATAAATGGAGTGATTTTTTAAATACTTTTTACTGTCTTCATATCTCTATATTTGTTTTTTTTCTATTGTAAAACATTTATGTACTATATTTAATTTTGTCTGTAATTGGCGAGTTATAATAGTTTCTCCTAAGACACTTCATAAAAAAATAACCAAAATAAAAATGGATTGATTATTCAAATTCAATGATGTGTAGCATATTGAATCTAATTGGTAGTTATTTTGAGGAGGGTCAAAGTTCGTGGATCTGTCTATTATCACATTTCAGTTAAACTTTCATGTTTCTAATGCTACTCTCTTGGGTACATTTTATTTGCAAGTATTTAGTTTTTTGGCTACTCGTGCAATTTTCATCGAAACTCGTTGAATCCTTAATCGAAAACCGTACCTAACGATGAATCTAGGGAAAAATAGCCCCACCTATAGGAAAAGAAAGCCCCGTACCGGCCGTACCAACTAAGTACCTACATTATTCTTTTTTATTTTGATTTGCATGATTAACTATAATCATAATATAATCATTAAATTTATCAATGTAACTCTTCTGTAACATAATAGGTACCCATAAACTAATTTTACAAAGAAAAATAAGAACCAGTTGTAAAAATATCACATTTAAGTATAATTAATTATTTAATACCGTTCTTTTATAATACTGATATAATAAATAGTAATATACCATTTTTAATAATGAGTTGCTTTTCAATGTATCTAGAATAATTGCTTTTGAAAGTACTCAGAGTGTGGAAAGCAATATCAATTAGAGCTATTTCATTACTATGAAACCAGTTTTTTGGTACATCAATCATTTGTCTGTTGTTTAAAACCAATTGGTATAAAGAAGTTGAAGGGTTTAATGTGTCAATCTGCTTAAACAATAAAGTAATATTTAACTATGAATAATTTTATTCTATTTTAATTTGTAATCTGTTTTTGAAATTTACCTTTCTTTTTTTAGGTTGTGGCGGAATCAATGCATTACTAGGTATAAATGGTTCAATAAATGTCTGTTCACAGTTAGAGACGTTACCAAAATCAATTTGTTTATTAATATTTAA